TTAGAATAACAATAAGCTAGCATTCCGTACGGGAAGGCAGGTGATGTTGCTCTCCTCTTCTCCTTCCATCACTGTGAAAGTCCGTTTCCCCCATCACCCTAAAGAGGCTCTCCTGACTCCTGAATTGCCACACTGATGCTTTGGGCTTTTTGTTTGTTCACTTTTTCCAGTCCTTGAACAGGCAGAGCTTGTGCTGAAGAGCCATGCTTAGCAATAACAAAATGGGTCTGCTGCTTTCAATGATTTAACTCTGCTGGGAGATGAGTGAGAGGGGATTTAGGCCAAACCAGCATAATTGTCAAGAACTGGGGCCAGGCAATTGGATTCTGTGGAGAGGGAGAGGTGTGGGAATAGCTGCAAAGGGGGCGGGGGAGGAGATGGCAATGACTGCAGAAAGGGGTGGGAAATAGGTGAAAATCATTCACATTGCACTAAGAGACCTCTAATGTGATCTGCATGCAGCATGAGGAAACAGCTTCTCTTTAAAACCTGCTGAAACCCATTCAGATCCTGTGGGGCCCATGTTAGGTTGCCTCCACCAGCTGGACAGGCATCTCTCTGGGCAATGTCCAGGAAGGTGCCTGCTGCCAAAGTGCAGCAAGCATCAGCCCTGCACATTGATCCAGAGAGGTTCCAAACTGGCTTCCCACTGGTTTGGTCGGATTGGGTGGAATCAACCTGTCAAGCCAAATCAGAGCTGTGAGTGGTCTGTGCCCTTAAAAAGGGAGGGTGGGAATAAGCTCCTGTAAGGGCAGAGGGGGAGACCCACACTTTCCCATCTTCATGAGCACCTAGAATGTGGGGAACTGGTGGAAAAGGGAGAGCGCCCTTAGGCATCTTCCCAAAGAGGATTTTGCCACAAAGGAGTTCTAAATCTCACAACCCTCTTTTTGTGAGTCCAGATCATACGCACTGTCCACTCGGCTTGGCGGCTTATCTTGTGATCGCTGTCAAACCAAGACAAAGAGGAGAAAAGGCTGGAAGGAGCCTCTTAGGCTTTGGACCTCCATTAAGTGTGCAGGGTGCACCTGCAAAAAACCAAATGAGATTTAAAGGTAAAGGTTTCCGCTTCATGTTACGTCCAGTCATGCCTGACTCTGGGGGGGGGGGGGTGCTCATCTCCATTTCCTAGCCAAGGGAGCCAGCGTTTGTCCTCAGACAGTCTCCGTGGTCATGTGGCCGGCATGACTAAACACCGAAGTGCACAGAATGCTGTTACCTGCCCACCCAAGTGGTACCTTGTTATCTACTTGCACTTGCATGCTTTCGAACTGCAAGGTTGGCAGGAGCTGGGACAGAGCAACGGGAACTCACTCTGTTGTGCAGGTTCGAACCGGCGACCTTTTGATCAGCCAGCCCAGCAGCACAGCGGTTTAAAACACTGCACCATCTGCAGTCCCCAAATGAGATTTAAAGATGCCAAAAATAATAAAAACAAGCCAGGAATCCTTTGGAAAGGAGAACTGAGATGCACTGCACCTCTCAAGGTGCTTGCCAGGGTAGGAATGCACCCGTCAATGGTCCACATAGGGAGTGAATGCCCTGCACTTGTCTTCTACACAGAGTAATCCAGTTCCTGGCATGGCTGGTCATCTAGTCAGCACCGACTGCTCCAGTGGATTGCCCCTTTGACCAAAGAGTCAACATTCTTCACATTCGTGATGCACCAGGTGGCAACCTCCAATGATGGCTTACATCATTCACTTCCTGCTGCTCTCAGTTGTGAGGTGGGTTGGGCTGCGAGTCTGTGGCTGGCTCCAAGTCACCCAGTAGGCTCCATGACTGAGCAGGAGCTAGAACCCAGATCGCCTGAGTCCCAGTCCTGTGCTCTCAACCACTACACCTCACTGGCTCTCATGAAGCAGAAAGAGGCAGTTTCTTCAGGCAGCAGATTCCAGGGTGGCTGTTCCCCTTCTCCAATGACAATACCCCAGCAGTAACAATGCTTGCTTGTAGCTCACTGCTTGGACTGGTCTACCTGTCTCATCCTGGTACATTCCACAGAAATCGGAGGGGAAAGTGCTGTCCCATTGCTGGTGCTGAAATAAGATTCAGTTGCCAATAGAAGTGGCTTCTGTATGTAGAACAGAAGGCAGGGGCATCATTTTCCTCTTTGGCTGCAAACTGCCTTGGGCCCAAACTTCTACCGGAAGGTTCTGGAACTGCGGCATCCACTGACCAGGAATCAAGGTGACCCTTGTTGTCCAAGAAGTCACAGGCTTGTGTGCATGGCTGTCTCCATGGGGGAGCTAGAAAAGTGGGCCTGTTACAGTGTGAATTACTCCACACGGAATGGGCCTCCAGAGCCAAGGTTTAACGTTTTAAAGGTGACCCGTTTCCTGCCATTGCCATGGATGGTATGCAGTGATCCCTGAGCTTTCTTCTAGCGCAGTTACGGTCTTCAGATGAGGGTGCTGCAAGATGATGATTATATGATAGGCAGACTGTCTTCCCTCAGTCCTTCTTAATGCATTTTGGTTCATTAAACAATACCAGCTTCCACTATTGCCTAAACCTTCATTCCTCCGGCCTTGGTGTTTACAAACAGAATTACTGCTGCATGCTAATTAAATACTCTGTTACTGCCAATTTAATTTCACTCCTAGGGAATGTTCAGTGGTTTGCTGGGAGGTGCAGACAGTGGAGGACTATTACAAATGTCTGCTGCTCTGTTATTAGAGCAGTGGTGTATGGTGAGCTCAATTCTACCGGTGCTCTGAAAGAGCAACGTGTGGCACTCCTGGTATCACAGACAATTCTGTGTAAATGTGGAACCCAGGGCTGCTTCCTGTTTTCCTTTTTTCTACATGAAGGTTTATTTCTGTACTAGCAAAGGCACATCTTTTGCAAGGCAGATTGCTGGTGAACCCCTGGGCTCAACAGTCGTCGTCACGTCCATCCAGGTACCTGCTGTAGCTGAGGCAATCCTTCATGCCAAGGATGGGGAATGGGTGGCCCTCCAGATGTTGTCGGACTGCAGCTCTATTGATGATACTGCCTAGAGCTAATAGGAATAGCAGTCCAAAAACAACTGGAGAGCCTTTACTCTAAGGGCACTTCCAGATGAGGCTTTCTTTGCACCATCAACCTGCTTCATGTGTAGGATTTTACGGGAAGCCCAGATTACAATACCTTCCACTTGTAGTCTTCTCATGTTTTTCCAGTGCCACTTCTGTCCTTTTCTTTATCACAGAAAATCCATCCAGGACAAAAAGGGGGGGCGATGCCTTCTAAAGGCAATGCTAAACATCCTCCGTCTGGAAGCATCCTACAGCTCAGGGATTTTTTTTAGTCAGCACACTGTTGTTGTTCTGAGAGTGGCTTCTTTTCTTTAATGTGTCCTGTTTGCAATTGTAGACCAGTCTAGCGGAATTACTCTTCATAAAAAGACCAGTTCTGAGGAGGATTCTACAACAAGTTGTGTTTCAACCAGCTCACCATATTTGCACCACCATGTCCAAAAGAGGAAGGCTGCAGAATCGGACCAATTCCTCTTAGAACAGAGCTATTAGGGTGTTTACTTGGATTCTGATTCAGAGCTGGAAGAAACCCCAAAAGTCCCAGCTGGAATGCCAAGGCCAGAGGACCAAGGGGTAAGCCAGGCAGTCACTGAGAATCGGTCAGCTTCAGATTCTGTGCGAAAGTCTAATGAACAAGCTGGAGTTAGAGGGGGCAGAGGGAACATCATTAATCTGAGAATGGGATGTCAGGTTAAGAAAACTAACCAGCTGAGAAGTGTCAGGTGCTTGAATGATTCACACTTAAGCAGCAGCATCAATCTGAAAAGTGGAGTTAGTGCTCTTCAGTTTGAAATTAACTTCCAATTCTGAAACTACATTTCCTGACACCTGGCATTCTAACTTTGCTTGTCTCTTAGTTATTGACATCTGCCATACTCTCCTTTTGTATCACAAAGTCAGCTTGGAGAAGGCATGCAAGATGAAATCAAAGGTATGTGGCAACCTCTGTACAAACTGAGGAAACTGCTACATGCACCTGTTGAGTTCCTACATGTGGCAGTCAGAAGCCATACATTCCTATTTTGCATACTTGTTTTAATAAAATTTTAGAATGAAGATACAAACCAGAGGGCTTGCAGACAATCCTTGGTAATAAGGATTACCTTGAGTTGAGTTCTTTAAGTGTGCTGAAATGTTTAACTTTTACATTGCAATGCCTGAGATGGAACCAGGGACCACCAATATACAAAGCATGCATCACCTCACGTTACTTGATGCAAATTTGGTGTGAGGGGAAAATAGCTTTAGTGGGGCTGTATAGATTTGCGGATTTCAGTAGCACCATGTTGCTAGAAATAGCAGGCTGATGTTTCACAAAACATCATTGTGCCACCTGCATCCCCCATCTCTGCATTGTCTTCTAAATGCTCCCTTTTGTGGGGGGGGGGCTTGCAAAAATATTATGGAGGAAGAGGGAACATACCTAACCATTGCCAAGACAACTGGGGCGGTATTCCCTGCCTTACTGCTCTATCAGATAATTAAATTGCCAGAGCAGTACAGTAACAAAGAGATTACTAACACAGGGGCCCTTCTTCTCCATATTCAGACAGATGATAAGACTTTATTTGACCTTAGTGATACTGTTGCATAGTTTCGTGTTAATTAGGTAGGGGATATTATGACATCAACACACTGGCCACAAAATCCCTGCTTAGTTGGGACCTCACAGCTAACAGGAAGATTGCCTCGGGAAAAATAGTGTTAAGCATGCACCAGCGGTGGCAGTATAGTGTTGAGAAAAAGATATACTTAACAGTTTGCCTCTCACAAAGCACCCTGTTTTAATCCAGGGTTGTTTTCCTGTAGGAGACTTGGCACAACACTAAAGTTCTTGCTGCTCTTCTGTAGAATATGCTGGTTTCTTTTACTCTCATTCATTTCCTAGGTGCAATATATCAAAGACACCTCACCAAGCTTCCTGCATCATCACTCTTTATTTTGAAGCTCCTAGTTTAGGCCTCTCTAACAAGTGCTCTTCTAGTAACACTTTCCTCCCAGGATTTCCTGTGGATCTGTCTGGGTTGCTTGTTCCTTCCTGGTTCCAGGCTCAGGGGCCGTGGGGTGTCCCACTTGCTGTGGGAGCTCACTTGCCATCACTGGCTTACCATCAGCTTCCTCAGGGTTCAGAATGTCCACTGCCAATTCTTCAATGTTTTCTAGGCTAAGCAAGCCGAGACCTCTGTAATAATCATTCAGCACTCTCTCAAGAACACTCACCGCATCAGATGTTTTGAAGTGTTTCTCCAGCACCTGGGAAAGTCGATACCACACTGAGTGAGGCTGGGCAGGGGTTGGCTCTGAGAGCTCAGTAAGGTAAATTGGCTCAGGTTTTTTAATGACCAGGTAGAGGGTGGACTCTGGCCCAATAGGATAGTCGGAGAGTCTATGTTCCCCATCCAGCACTTTGCCCTGGAACAGCAGGGTCTGCTGGTTTGCGGGGACATTCAGTTCTTCTGACACCAGGCTCTTCACCAGAGAGATCTGCTCCTCGCCAGAAACCTGGAGACGACACTGCTGTCCCAGCAGCCTCTTCACTGTGAGCAGCATTGCCTCGCTCAGTGTGCTGAAAAGCAAGTCCCTGCCTCAAAGAGGAAAAAGTCAGCTCCATGGCAGGGACAAGGGGGAAAGCTATTGGCTGGTTTTGCTCTGATGTCACAATTCTCTCAGGGTCCAGTGTCTAGGAAATTCCCTTCTGGAGTCACAAACATCCCTTGCAAGACTCCATGCTTTGGAATGGGTGGCTGCTGATGTAGCATCTATTAATTATTCCCAATTGTTTATCCTTCTTTGCACTGGTGTATTCTTCTTTGCACTGGTATTCTGCATTTCATGCTGGAGATACCACCACAGTGCAGGCTTCCCCATCCTGGTACCCTTCAGATATTTTGGACTTCAGCTCCCATCTGTCCCAGCCAGTTTGGCCAATGGTTAGGAATGTTCAGAGTGATAGTACAACATTTATGACAGGCAATAGGCTGAAAATACTGTGCGGGAAATGTGCTATTTGATAAGGATGCCAGCCAGGTATTTCTTTGAAGATCAATAGTCACTCCAAAACCCAGAATCTGCTGCACTGAGATACTAGTTTGTGTGGCACTGCATCCTAAAATAACTGGCATTGATTTTATACACAAGGTAACTACCATCAAGCAAGTGCATACCTGACCATTGTGAAAACATTCCTAACAGGAACTAGCAGTGAAAAATAGCACAGAGCACAAGAGGAACTGAAGAAGCATCAAGCATAGGAAGATAATAGCACTGGTTGTGCTGTGATATTTAACAAAATATTTTAAGATTATTCCAGGATATTTATGTTCAAATGTAAGAGTCCCATCTCTCATTCAGAGGTACCAAGGAGCTAGGTCAGGGCTGTCACTTAATAAAGGACTGTAACAGTGGTCTGTACATATATTATTTTCCCATTGCTTGTGTTCCACTGAACAATCCAGCCTAGTGTACACTTAGTGTACTCTTGACTCAGCATCACTAAGAAAAGCCTGCTCAGAGAAATAAGAAGTAAAATATCAGTGCACATTGGCTGGAAACCCTAAACCTTTAAAATATCCCTCCTGCAAGACTGCCAATGCCTGACAGATTTATGAAAGCATCGTAAGACCTTTGAATTAGGACTCAATTTAGAAACCAGGTCTGACAACAGACACTCCCCTGCTCCTGCTCAATTAGCAAGACTGCAGCACCACATCCTACACTCAGGGCCTAACATATGTACTAAGTAAAGATATGTACCAGATTCAGATAAAACCACAATCTCAAGCAGGCTTGTGCCACTTCAGCCATGGCCTGTTGTTTCTCAGACCAGAGCAGGCTCCCCCCTAAAGGCAACAAAACCAAACTCACTCCAAAACAAGGCTTCATTAGCAATTCCTGTTCCAGAAGTGCTGAGACCTTGTCTTTATCACCGTTTTTCTCTAGGTTATACAATTCTGAGCAAGGGGAGGGAGAATGGTTCAGTGACTGATATGACCATCTTCTCATCTGAAGGTGGCCATTTTAACACCACTAACCTTCACTATGTAAAAAAAAGTCTTGGTTTTCAGTCATCATTAATTCCCTAGAACCTACAGTTATTCTTCTGAACCTGCCTGTTTCTTGCCTGGGGACAACTGTATGAAATAGTATCCTTTATACGAATTAACAAATCCTTCTGAAACATTGTAAGATGATTATTTAAGGCTGGGGCCCTAACCACATCATTTGAAAATGCAGCCCATGGCACCCATGAGAGGGTCTCCAGCATGGCACCCATGCTTACTTTTTCCTAGCTTTTGATATACATATATGGATTTGAATGAAATGCACACAACTGCCTAACAATCGTACACAAGTTTCAACAAAAGTAGCCCAAATATCCAAGTGAGTTTCCATTTGAAGGAAGTGGCAACCCTTCAAATACATATGCCACCTGTTCAAACACTGAAAGCATTGTCAGGTCCTCAGTCCATTGAGTTATAGAAGGTAAGTGATTATCATTCCAAGGCACAGAGAATCCATTTACAATGACCATTTGTTCACTTCTATGAAATAGGTAAATAATTTAAAAGAGCATGTACATCAATGACTATTACGGATTGCTCCAGTACAAAATGTAACTGGGTAGTAACCTCCCCCCGTCCCCACAAAAAACCCTACTGGATACTGCAAAAACATGTTTAAAAGAAGCATTAGCTGTATTGTACCACCAGCAAATTAAGACAATCCTTTATTGAAGTTGCAGTGTCAAACAGACATTGAAGTACAGTTTTTGCTGAATAAGGTGCAGCCTAAATTCCATAGTGTGACAAGCAGATGTCAAAAGCAACAGTCCACTGATTAGGCATTTTGTCTGTGGAGCCTACTGAAGTTTTTTATATTTTCATATCTACTGACCAAAAAATTTGAAGACCCCTGACTTGGGATCATTATTAGACTGTCATGTCCAGAACACGGGGGAAGAGTGTGATATCTTTTGGAGACTATGAAAATAGATTAGGTCATATGACTTGCTTTGTACTAAGTTTCTTCCAAACTATTGTTCTGAAATAAGCCAGGCTTAATAGTTTACAAAGGGGCAATTATCCCTGCAGTTTTCATTCAATTTTGCCATGAAATAAAAGTGGTGAATTATTCACCCCCACCAAAACCAAATCAAAATATAAAGGTGTGTGGCATCAAGTTCCCTGCACCTATTTTTCTGTCATTTAGGTGACAATCTCCTCCCTTAAGGGACTGCTATGTTTGCAACTATCATCCAATTCTGACTGAGAGCAAACAACTGTTAGTGACAATGTTTAGAATTCCTGTGATCAGATTTCCATCCATTTGATTTCCATTTCCATTTGACTTTGGAAACAAATAAAAGCAGATGCATTCCTGAATGGCCCAAAATGGTTTGGATGATTTTCTGAAATGCCAAATCAGAGTCTGAGTCAAAGCTGGAGGGGTGGTGGGTACAGAAACTTACTCTAAGTGCTTCTGGTTTCATTTTCATTTTATGTTACTATAATAGTTAAATAATTCAAGACTGTTAAGGGATAATACAGAGTTCTATATTATATAAACCACAAAAATGCTGATTTGTTTCATCATATTAGTCATGAAACACAACTCTGCCTGGGATTTTTTTTTTTTTTTTTTTGGCCAATGGAAGTTGGTGGTATAAATCAGTTTTTTAGAAATTTATTACACAATTGTTCCTCTCAATTAGAGTGTGTGTAAGCAAGTGTAATTACACAATCAAAGCATGCAAGCAGCACAGTGATTGCTGTAATTAGGAACCCAAATTACTTGCTGAAATATGTCTTTAAACCTGAGCTTGTAGAGAAACAGGAATAAGGGTGCAGTGAAGGCACTACAGTAGACCATATGGACTAAGAATGATGGCACTTGCAATCTAAGACATCTGGAGGGCTCCAGTTTGCAGAAAACTGGTTAGACATGCACATTCCTCAAAAGTCCACATACATTTAACAAGGCTGTATCTGAGCTTGACTGGGATATATTTCAAATAGACAAACTGTACCTTGCCTGAAGCCACTCTCCCTAGGAAGAAATCAGTACTGCCATAGCAAAATGAATTAGTACCATGTTAAAGCCATACATAATTTTACTGTGCAACTGAAAAGGAAAGTGAGGAAGAGATGGAATGTAAGGGAAACCACAAGCAATTAAAGCAAGGAATAATAAAAAAGGTGTTACAACTGCAGCTGAATTAAAGAAAACATCTGCAGGCTCATAGAAGCCCATTCCGATATGAAAGGATACATAAATGATTGGTAGAGATGGATTTTGCCTAAGCAAGATGCAGATGCACTCAACAAGGCTATGTAAGTATGAGCACACAACCCTTTCACCTGTGTGAAGCTGCTACATCTTAGCCAGCTGCACAGCCTGAGCGTGCCTTATCTGCACTCCATGTATTATATGGCTCCATGCAGCTTGCAAAACTGCTTATGCATTCCAGTCAGAAATACACAATCTCTGCATCTTTGCTTCTGCAGAAAGCATAGCAATTAGACCCAAGAGCCATTTGGTATTGCCTTTGCTGTCATTTTGCTATAGGATATTTTAATTCTGAGTATAAGCCACCTTCAATATTTTATTAAAAGGTGAGCTGTAAATCCTCATTATAAATAAATTCACTATGTCAAGTGCAACAAGAGGAAGTGTTTCTACTTATATAGTTACAACGATATGACACTGACAGTCACAAATTACTTCTTGTGTGTAAACATAATACAGCCTGTTAAAAACTACAGTCAGAGTAGTCCAAATCATCTACAGCAGGCATCCTAAGTTTGCATGCCATTAGAAATGGTGGGGATTTTTTTTTATATCTGAAATCTATACAATTGCAGATATAAGGAGAACATTAACTTACCATCAGGTTACCCTATTTTCAGATAATGACTGGAGGGGTTTTCCTACCAATTCGCTAAAGCCTCCAACACAACAGAAAAGTAGCATTCACACCTAAACTCTAGTTAAGCTGTTCCCATACTGAAGATGAATTCATAATCTAACCTCCTTCCAAAGTCTCCAATTTACATCAGACAAGTTTCTTGGTGTCTTTCCAGGAGGCACTTAAAGCTGAAGATTCATATACAAAAATAACCATTATAAGCTTGAAAGGTATTTTGTTTTTAATGTTTTATGTGACCATATGCTTTTGTTGCACGATCATGTCACCATCACACTGTTCACAATACAGATATGGGGAAATCCAACTTCTCATTATAGTACATTTCGGAAAAAAAAAAACCCCTGGAACCCCCATCTGTGGTTAAATCACAATTTTTGGACTGGCTGCCTGGCAGGCACTTTCTTAAACTGAATGCATTTGATGTATTAAAATTGTTTCCTATCTTTAAACCATCAAGGTTACCTTGGTCCCTGCAGCTCTCTGCCTAAATGAAATTCAACGATGCAGAAAAAACTTATCAGAGTGTTTGGATTATAACTAATCCAGGCTCAATACAAAGGGCTGGACCAGTGCTCTCCAAGCCCCCAGTACTGTGGTAGTATTTTAATGAACCCCCAACCCTAAAATATTTTCAATGGAATTTAATTCTAAGTAAGTTGCCTTAGGACTTCAATGTAAGTATGTAATTAAGAGCACAGAGGAGAAACAAAACAAAAGGAAAAAATCCACCATCTTGCAGTACTTGGTGCTAACCTGTTGTATTTCTTTGCTCCTGAATGGAAGCAAATATACTCAGCAACAGCTGAGAGTCCATTCCCACAGGAGATACCTTCTTCTAAGGAAAAGGAAACACCTACTTTATTAACAAGTCCTTTCCACTTATCAATTTCAAGTAGGTGTCCTTGTTTTCACCTTGTTCATTATATTGGTTTGAACAGGCTTAATGGAGGCAGGTAACCTTTGTTTGGACTGCCCTATTCCAAACAGGTGTGGGGCTAGTTGGAATAAGTCCAGACACAGGCCTGGCACCTCATCTTGTCTTTGCGAGTGAGAATGAGGCTGGAGTGGAGTATCCAGCTGGAAAGTGAATGAATTTGCTTGTCTTAATCAGCAGTAAGTGTGTTGGGTATGCTATACTTAACTGAGAAGCAGAGACACAAACAAGGGATTGGCATGCAGGCAGACCAGGAAAACTGCACTACCTTGGTGCACCAGTGCTGAAAAACTGCTTGAAGAGCAGGTCTCAGACAAATGGAAGGATGGCACATTGAAAACAGAAAAGCAACACTGAGAGTTTGCCCTTGTCGGGTGCAACCTCCAAAACTGAAGTATACTTAATAAAAATAGATATTAGTATTAAATTACACTGGGTATGACCTGTAGTTCTTTAAGGAGTTTGGCTATGCCAGGAGAACAAAGTGGGACAACAGCCCTGATACAAATAAAATTACCTGCTCACTTCTTTAGGCAAGGACAAGCCATTTATAATATTCCCACCAACTCCCAAAAGAAGAGCATACTATTGGCACTGCTATAAAAACACCCTATGCCCAGTTCCTGCTCCTCTTGATTATACTGCACCCCTACATCTACTAGATGGGACTTCACAGATCTCCTTTCTTATATCAGCATGGAGAATAGTATGCACCATCTATAATTTCTTATTACACCCACAATATTCTTTCTTTCATGTAAGCCTGCAAGAAATTACTGCTGTTCTGTCCTTTTGGTATAAGCATGGGGACAAAACAGAAAAAGCTACTATTCCAGCTTTGAAATAGAGTAGCTACCCAGGCTCAGTGAACAGAAGCCTGACAAGGATCACTGAACAGCAATCAGTGCCAACACTGATATTTTCCCAATTTTTTTTCAACTGGTTCATGTCTCAAAGCAGCTTCCAGACTGACCAGTAACTGAAGCAACCCAAAAGATTTAAGAGAAGCCATATTGACAGGATCCTGAGAGCAGTAAAAAAATAACTGCTGCCACCTGGAGATGAAGGGTAGAACTGCAGGTTTCTTTACAATAAATGAAAAATCCATATATCTCCTCTATGCCTGGTTGACTGAAGAGCAGGAACCTAGTCTTTGGGCACATGTACTAGCTCTGAATTCTGAGATTTTCCTCATCAGATGTCACTGCAGTAATTCTTCCCAACAGATGGGTCTAGAAAAAACTTCCCTTTCCAGCCACAAGTCATAATTCATTTGGAAATCTTCAGGTAGCTCCACACGCTGGCCTAGAACACTCTGCAAACAGTTATCCACAGGCAGAAAATCAGGGTTGTTATGTGCCCGATCATAACGCCGGGAGTTGAAACGCTCTATGCTGGCACGCAGAGCACACTCTTCAGCCTGGAAGTCCCATGGACGTGCATCCAGATCTGCAGAAGTCAAGAAGAGGATAATCAATCCAAGTCATACCCCCACTGTGAAATGTTCACTGGATTAGTTTAAAAAGTCAGATTTTCAGGTTTCATAGTAGAGCAGAAATAGACTGAAGCAGTAACATAAAAAGTTATAAATTCCCAGGCTAATATGCTACAGTGGGTTATGGAACTCTTGTATGTGGTTGCCAGGCTGCTACAAGTAGAACAACAGAATCTGCAGTTTCCGAGACAGAGACTAAGGTCATTAAGAATACAGATTGGGTCAATGATTGCATCTAGTTAATAAAATAGATGGAGGCTAGAACAAGGAACATTTCTTACATGTAGTCTGTCAGTACGCACATGGGAGCTTGCATTTTGATCCAGTGTTTATTGGGTAAGACTGCTACATGCCCCTAAACTTTCTCCATAATAGTTTCCTACCAAAGGTTAGGAAAACTGGGATAAAAACCAGAGCATATGTTCCTTCCCTTCTTTGAAGGTGTACTCAGTGCTGAATGAGGACCAGAATTAATACTATATTATCATTAGGAGTAATAAGAGTAATATTACATTACACAGTTGCCCCCTTCCTTCCTCTTGCAAGGAATCCAACTAAAGAACTTAGCAATATGGTTCCCAATGATTTTACAAAATTGTTTGTTACAGAAAGATGGATGATGGTTTTTCAAGAGCTTAAGCTTTTCAGGTAATATACCATCATGAATGATAACAATTTAATCAAGGATTGCATATATGTCTCACTGACTGGTTCATATACAATGGCAGCAAATTATGAGTTAATTAACCCAAGATTTGGCATGGTGTGTGTCAATGCCAGGTGAATTTCCCGGCCATTTTGAATATTTAACTAGTAATCTGCTCAACAGGAGGGTGCTACACAATACCTAAACCAGTACACATGTTAATCACGCATTCAACAACTCGTAGTTAACCTACAATTAGTGGTTAGTTTAACTGTGTGTCTACTAATGATTAACCTTAGCAACTGGCTTTGAACATCACATGGCCACCCTCCAATCAGGCAATGGATATTTATTGGGCCACAGTGGGCAGGTTATTCCATAGAAGGACAGATGTTCAGATAGGTCCACAATTTACTGCCAGTAGGTGCAAACAGCCTCATAAGTAGCATGGGCTCCAAGAAAGATAATGAATACTGTTTTCCTGGCATAAGGCATATTTCTCTGCCTAAGCAAAAAAACATGAAGTCATACCTCTTGCTGACATCTGTTCAAGAAACAGGTCTGTCTGGATATAAATGTAATTCTTGGAATGGCATATTATATCCACCAGTTTCTCTTTATTGCAAATTTCACTTTGCTAATTTAATCCTAGTTCATGTGGTCCATGTACCAACATATACAGGCTCCTGGTTCATTTCCATGGAGAATGAATATGAGGAGGTTTCAGTTAGGAGCTTCTTCCCTGCAAACCACCCACCAACAGACTTACACAGTCCCAATTTTCAGTGCGGCAGAACAGAGTGGATAAGGAGCTTTTAATATACAAATCTATAGTCTAAGTAGGAATTTCTCTCATGTTTGAAGCCAGATGTTCAACTCAGTCACAGGCTACTGGTAATTAGGCTGCCAACCTGCTTTAATACAGACACTTCAATATTATGTCACTCCACTTGGCAGATCTTTAAGAAACATAAAACCTATAGGGGTGAGATGCACATGCACACTTGCGAATTCCCACCAGACCTGTCTTCACCCTGAATATCTCATCTCATTCTGTGAAGCAGAATGATGTAACATATATGGGGTTCTTCCATTTTGTTCTTTACAACCAATCTAGATGTCAAGTAGACTTAGGCTGTGATGCTGCAACTTGCCCAAGGCTACCCAGTCAAGAGGGGATTAGAACCTGGATTTTTCTTCTTCAAGAATATCATTTTAGTTATTACACCAAACTGAGAAAGCACAATATGTGCACCTAAAGAGTTAAATGTGCCACTCATTTAGAGGAGCAAACTGCTTTTCATAACATGGGAGTATTTAGGCTGAATAAAGTATAAATAAAAATGTATGAATCAAGGATAAGAGGAACGGCCACATGCACTCCTAATAGTCACTAATGCAACCTGCTAATAGGAAGGCAGGTGCTTCAAGAGAAGTGGCTTGACATAACAACCAGAGGTTCATCATAGGTTTGGGACGGAGTAAGGTAAGGTGAGGTGACTGATTCAGGACATACCATTGCCATAAGCCCAGTCATCATTGAGCCGATGTCGCACTTTTTGGTAGATTGCTGACATAGTCTTCATGTTACTTTTTCTCCACTGCCGTCCTAGATACTTTGTCTGCACCTTGAGAAGCTTGAGAACATACAGCTGCATCATGGCCTGCTTCACTTTGAGGGCTCGTTTCAGAATAGGAGCAGACTTGAACACCACCAGCATCTGGTAAGTAAGGTAAAAGTAAGGTAATTAATTCCTCAAGGCTGCACCCACAGTTCCATCAATAACTGTGGGCTCCAGACAAGATTATGGTACATATGGAATAAATACATTATAGTGTTAGGGACAGCATTCACAGCAGGTACATTCAGCAATGTAGGCATTCCAACTCACCATGGTCCTAGAGTGTTTCCACTTTGTTAATTTATTCAATATTCTAAGTAGATTGATGCAGGAAAACAGGTTCCGCCAGCAAAATTGATTGTTGTCTCCAGCTTCCTAGAGGAAAAAGGGAAAAAAAAGGAAAAATGATCAAGGGAAGAATGCCAATATGAGGAAGTGCCTCTTGTTCCTGATTTGCATGTCCCTGTCAAGATAAATGGAATTGGCAGCTTTGCTCACCAGACTCTCTGCAGTCAGCTCAGGCAGCTCATGTACCACACAGTATGGATAATCCAAAACAGAGATGCTAAAATATATAAGAACAAAAGGGATCAGCATGGGTGCCCACGGATGACCATGCTTAAACATATGAAAAGCATGTACCCTCTCCAATCCTTGCTATTCAGCTTGCAGCTACCCAGAAGTAATTTTCCATATATGTTTAACCTGGACATTTAGTTAATGCCAGGAAAAACAAACAGATCAACCAATCACTTAATGACATTTCAGCCCAACAGAGAAATTCTGTTGTTAGAGTCCAGTACTATTGATGGCCTTGAGACATCACCATGAGTCACAATACAAGTTGGAATACCATTCTGCTAAACTACCTACCTATACAAATGACATTGGCAGAAATGGAAACTTCCTCAAAAACTTCTTATCAGTGTCATGAGACAATTTCCCTCCTGCAAATTAAATTCTGGAGGATGATCAGGTTTTCTTAAAAACTGAAAATATAGAGAATAATATGTGCTGTTGTGATATTTTCGGACAGAGATGTGCTAGTAATGTTCTAACCTACCTGTTTTTGGCTGTAATGTATGACATAATATTCTGATTGAAGAATTTCAATATAAGTGGAATGCAATTGGCAAACACCAGGTGCTGGGCCATGTATTCAAACTGTTGCAGGAAAGAGAAACAATAGGGTGCATTAAGCAAGCAAATTTCAGATTCACTTCAATCTTCCCTTCCAATGCTGAGGATTCAGATGATCTCAGGCTTACCTGATAGACATGATTTAATTTAAAATGTTTGAGCAGTAGCAGCAGAACAGCAGAAATGGCCTTTACAATGATCTCTTTATGTCTATTCACATCAACTCCCAGCTTCATACTCTGCAACACAGTTGTTCTGGAAGCCAAACCAACAGTATTATCATTTGTAACGTTTGAAGGTGACTGCAGTGAGACAAACTTTCCTGCACTGAGACATTCTTTATTGAACTTCTCATTTAAGTAACACTTACACATTTTTACCATTCTCAGCTTCAGTATTGTGAAAAGAATCACTTTTTGTTTAGTTTACATATGGATAATCAAAACAGACAAGACTCCTCAAGAGTTTTTCATAAGTTCTTTCTAACTCTTTTTAATGAGAAAAGATAATGAAGAACTGAATAAGCCATGAATGGTTTTATCCACCCACAAAGGTAGGCCAGGGTATGCTTGCAGAAAGACTTTAAAGGAAGAATCAGGTACTGTCCTGAACACAATGGATGCAGGATCACTGAATCTGGCAAGGACATGATGAATCTTATGAATGTGTTGCTCCAGACACATTCTTTTTTAATCTCACCCAACGGATGGTACATACATATAAATCTGAAGAACGACAACTTCTACTGAAACAAACATCACCAAGTTAAACTGTTCTGAAAATTTTCAAGTGACTGCTGCTTATTGGCCTAATTCCACCTGATATACTTAAGGGGATTGCCATTTCTAAAGCAGACCAGTTTCAAACAGCTTGCCAGGTCCAGCCTGAAGTTTCTATTCATAAAACCCTCCATTCCCTGCTGCTAGATTTTCTAATTCACACATCTAACACGTGCTTCCATTTTGCAAGATTTAACAAAGCAAGTGTTCCATCAACTAAGAGGCAGTCAGAAATGTCAGCTGGTTCAAAATGCAATAGCCAGATAGGTTTCTGCCCATTTACTGATCACATTATGTCAGTTTTGCTATATCTGCACTAGCTTCCAGTTTATTTCTGGATGCAATTCAAAGTGAAGGTTCTTAATTCCAAAGCTCTGAATGGCTTGGGACCAGGGTATGTGAAGGACTTCCTCCTCCCACATGAACCTGCCTGTGCACTGCATTCAACACTGGAGACCCTGATATGAAAGTAGTGGTGTTGGTTAGGATGTGAGATAGGGCATTTTCTACAGTGGTACCCAGGTTATAGAATACCTCTCAGAGGAAGTACAGCTGGTTCTCTTTTAGCATCATAAGGGCTGACATGACCTTTTTATTCCCACAACCATTCCAATGTGATAAAAATATTTAATCTTATGCTTTAGTTTTAACTTGCTCCTATTATATGGCATTGGTTTGAATAATGTGGGAGGTTTCATTATTGTACAGTTTCTATGTATTTTAGTAAATTTGCAACCCTCTTTGGTTTTATTTATAAATAAATGTGGAACAGAATTTTCCAATTAAATAAACAACCAAACACACACACACAGTGTTCACACAGCACCCAAAGAAAATCAAGCCAACATGTGATCATTTTCATTCACTGTATGTACCACTTTCTGTCCCCCTAGGTATGAGACTCACGGCATCTCCTCTGGCAAAACATCTGCTAGGATGTTAATGGAATCAGTCTTGGCTTTGGAGGTGGGTGCTGCAGCTAGTAGAATCTTCAGCAAGGCAATCTGTGAATCAAAGTTCAGTTAAGTGAAGTGCAGAAAACTTTCTGAAGTCCCAGATCTAGGAGCACTCAGCACCCAGACACTGATAACATGATATGAACATGAGATACCAAAGAGTTCAATTTGTCACAGACTGGCAAGCAAAGAGGAGATGTATATCAAAATGGATGTTTCCATAAACTATCAATGAAATGCAGATTAGGATTAGAGATTCCTTCCACTCTGAAGACAGTATGGAGCTCAGAGTACAACATTATGAAGGAAAATAAACAAACAAAATGGGCCTTGGAAAGGAATATATGCTGAAGATGACTATAACTCACCATGTACTGGGGCAGGCTAGGAAGTAGACCCTGATACAGGATTTCTACAGGAACTTGCTCAACCTCTTCTTCACCCTGTTAGCACAAGGAGATCATTTTAACAACCTTTCCAACTTCAAATGTGGGCCAAACTGATCAGTATATTTTCTTTCAGAACATGGGCAAACTTCAACACAGGCAAACTTCCACAGGTAGAGTGAATAATTGCACAGCCTCATATCACAAAGGTCAGATCCAGAATGCCTCTTTGGTGAATAAAACAGTTTCTTCTGTGTTTGCTCAATATACTGGGATCAAAAGGGAGCCTCTGCTGGAGGAATGGGGGCAGGGGCAGGGAGAAACAATAAATTTCTCCTTTTCCCTTGTGTTGCCTCCTGTACTTTTCAGGGAACAGGAGGAATGGAAAAAATTGTTTCTCTCTTCAGCAGGAGCACTGTATAATTGGAGATCACTGGATCTATTCCAGAGATCTGATCTATAGGGTGGGAAACAGACGAGAACAACTTTCCAATCAGTATTCTGGCAAAACTGCAAGTGTACCATGTAAACCTCTTTCAAAAAAAGGAAGCCAGTATAAATGATGGATTGTATAAGCAGTAAAATGTTCGATCAAAAATAAATAATTTAAAGTACAATTTTATGCAGGAAATGCTGACAGTTGTAGAGCCCTTTTCAGTTTAAACATGCATAGGATTCCACCCTTAGACTTCTTTCCTTTCCCCTCTGCTTTTCTATATTGACATTTTTCAATCCAATTTTCCTTCACACTGAGTGTTCTTCCTAGAATACCTACCCCTGACAAGGGGGAACGCAAGTACTCCTCTTCCATCTGCACTTGAATCTCTGCAATAGATGTATACTTGTGCTATAATGACACAAAGAAAAGGAAGTTAACCTTGACATATTGACAACACAATAGATTCCATTTCTTTGTCTGTGTTTATATTTTTTTAGCATGAGGAGGCATTAGCAGACTGACCATGACCAAAAACTGCTCCTGCATGGGAGGAGTTTCATTCCATTCAGACAAATTAAGCTGGGTACTCACCAGTTTCAAAGTTCTGATACTCTCATGAATGGGTCTGGGCAGTCCTACTACTGTATTGGTGTCACTAAAGAGGAAAAAACAAACACACACTAAGCAACCAAATAACATTTGATTAGAAAAGGGCTCTTCTAATAAAATTGTGAACTGGAAGCTTTTGACTTAAATTAGGAATTTTGCTTTTACTGTCTTTTCACCCTTCTTTCAAATAGCGCTCTGTTATAAATCTAGGAATGGCCAGCTACTGCTCCTATACACATTGAAAAGGGAGTAAGCTCCACTGAAAATAATGGGACTTCTATCTGAGTAGACATGTATAGCATCGCTGTATAAATTATCTAAGGGTGTTTTTTCATGTGTAAAGTAAAAGTTTCCTTGTTATATTAAACCAATACAAACTAGTTTCATACGCAAAATGAACACATATATGACCACTGCATACTACTCAGCAATTTATAATATAGAAGTGCTTGAAAATTATAAGAATCCCTGTCTGACATCAACATTGTCAGCTTTTTGGCTCCAGGTTAAGACTGCCTTCTATTCCCAGGCATTTAATGACAAATGATAGGGTGTCAGCCATATTAACATTCCTAGTTTTTATTGAAATTGTTTTTGTTATTTAAATTATTCACAATTTTAAAATGTGAAACAATGTTATTTGTTTCACATTTTAAAATTGGTACCATATGCCATATTTTACTACTATTTTCATTATTGTACATTATGAATTGTTTTGAACCTCCCAAGGGAGCCTCAATATTGGGAGATATAGAAATGAAATTAATAATAAAAATAATTTTCAAATTATAAAAACATGTTGAATTTTTAGCAATGCTTCATTTACAGGCAGAATGATCCCACTGTCCCTGGACAGACAGAAAACAGAGGATGCTTCAGATTCCCAGATCTAAGGTCAGAAAAGAAATTGCCCATTGAGCTGATGCTCAGGGAGGGGGAAGCAGGAGTACAAAGATCATCTCTGCATTCTTCCCACCTTCCATAGGATGCCTGCAATCCTCCAAGTTCAGAGGTTTACAGGCATCCCCAACAGTCTAAACTCTAACTTATGTATCAGGTAGAGAACTTGAAATAAAGGGATCCAATAGCATATATTTGAAAAAAGGGCATTTTCATACTATAAAGAAACAATGAAAATGGAACGGTTATATAGATTTGTGGATTAACCCAATGTAGTCCATATGTGTAGTCCATATGCATTCTCCACATTGTGGTTTCATGATGGACAACAGACTTCAAAAATTCCTTCCATTAAGCGTTTTGTTATATTAGACAAAATTCTGGAAAATCCTCAGAACATCCAGGTGCTGTGCAAACTTATCTGGCACAAGCAATTCTAGATGGAGTAAGCGTCCCTGCTTTTCTGCCCCTTTCCTTCATTTGCCCATGGCACCATATATACAAATACTCTTTTTTGTTCTTTCTATATTTTAGCCCCTTTCCCTTAAAGGTAATTCGCATAATTTCTCCTGTTCCAGAAGCACAGACTGGCAGCAACCCAACACATTAAATGCATGTGGGAGGGTAAGAGATCGCCATACCTAGTTTAGCACAAGAGACAATACATTTGGAGTTTTTCTAACTTACCTCCCTAAGGTGTAGCCAATAAATTTGCTCCGACTAGATTCCAGAAACATCTCAATGTCTTTCTCTCTACAGAAAATAGCAAGTACATCATTTAGTCAAATCTTTAGGGTTCCTCCAACTATTCCCAACTTTTAGTGACAGCTTATAATAAAGTATAATAATACAGTAAAATCCATAGAGGGACAAATTTCCTTTTTACTGTAAATAGGATGACAAACTATTTTCTGATCTCAAAATCTCCACAGACTGTGGAATATAACTCTAGCTTCAATCAAAGAGAGAAATCCTGCATCAGGTCCTATAAACATCATTGCAAGTATACCAACACCATTTTACTTATTCCATGCAGACATCTATGAGGCGAACCAGTCAAATATTCCAGCATTGATTGGACAGAGTCTTCAAGTTCTAAGGTATCTGTAGATACATCTATCCAGTACAGGCACTCACCTGACCTTGGGGGCCCAAGGCAAACCCTTTGGACAAGTTAGTCGGTCAGTTGGAGGGTGCTGGACAGGAGGGGGCATCACCTCATCTCTTTCAAGAGGGAATGTCTCTCCCTCAAGACTATTGTCATCATCATTCTCTTCTTCCTCTTCACGGGAGTCATCGGCTTTGTAAGGATCTCGCTCATTGAAGGCATCCAAGTTATCCTGTTTAATAAGAGCCTGGAAGGGCATACACCATAACAGACAAGTTTAGCCCATCTTCTGCTTGTGTACACTATTCTTTCCAAACAGAGGGAAGACACTTGCCCCTTGACTCATCTGTTCCAAACCTCACCTTGTGCTCTCGGCGACCCCGTTTCTGTTGCTGCTCAATCAAATCAGAAGCAGATGCAGGAGGAGAAGCCGCTCTCATATTGCGTATCACCTTTATGCTATCCTCGGGCAGTGGTGGGAGCCCTAACATCTCCCGCTTCTCTGCTTTCATATCCTGGAGCTCCTCAAATCCTCCAAGGGTACACTACACAGGAGGATAAATACAGTCATTCACTTGCATCTCTTCACTCACTCATACAATCTTCAAAAATGTATTTGCTACTGGTAAATTAAAGAAGAATGAGGAATGGAGGACTGGAGAAAGAGATATATCTATAAATCTTCAAGATCATTTGTGAACATGGGATAGCATAGCACAGCACAAGTCAAGGTTCCAGGCATGTTAAATCTGGCACTCTGTTCATGTTATATCCTATTTTCACAGATGTCCAAGAGAATAATGCTAAGCCCACTCCTGAAAATTTAAGTTTAGAATTCCATATTCCTAGCAGTCGCACACTTATTCACATATCCTGCTATTCCTTAAAGAAATTCAGAGGTGCTTGCTTGGAGCCCCACTTAGCTTGAATAATGCAGGTACCAAGTAGCCAGAGTAATGCTGTTTGAAAAAGCCAGACAGAATTATTTGAGACTGGAATGTTCTGGTGTAGTGGCAGCTAATCCACACTGAATTAATCACAAAAGGAACTCCTTTAAGAATTGGCTATTAACATTGCAATCTATTGACTCCATAATTTTTGGTCTTTAGCAGTTAAGAATATATAATTATTTACAAATGGACATCTGGAAGCATTATCTGAAAGTTATACTTTTTGGCAGTCCTAAAAACAGACAGATTTTACAAAGTATGTTTCTTTGTGGTACCATCTAACATACTTTGTGATCACTACACTCCTGTTTCAAAGTTGTATTAGTTGATTGATTTTTTTTTTTAAACAGGGAGCTTCCTTTCTTATTCGTTATTCAGAACTCATTATATTTAAATACGGAGACACTCAAAGATTGTGAAATAAGCTTGAGTTAGGCTGGGTTTCCAATTTAACCTAGCTTGGGCATTTGTTCTGTCACTCTACATTCCTACCTAAACTGAAAGCCTGTATTAAACAAATTTAGCCAGTTAATGTTCCTATTTTTTTACTGCTGAGCTGTGAAATATCTGAATGTTTGCTAGCTCTAACAAAATTAGCCAACTGCCTAGTTTCACATTAACATGATTTCGCCTACACAGGACATTAAAAGCATCCATGGCAGTTTGATGCTCTCAGGATTAGCTTCATGGTGCCATCTGCTGTTTTCAAGCAACCTGCAGCCCCAAGGAATCTGAATACTCATACTAAGCAAGCAGCCAGTATAGGAAAGCAGCACTGGCTCTTCTAAGTGATGTGCCAAATAGTCCTAACAGTTGCAGATACAACACAGGGTTTACGTGAAAATAACACAAGGAACAGAATCAGTCCAACAAATCACAGTTTTCCATGCTGCCTGTTCCTTTTGCACGATCATAGAGGGAAGCGGTAAGACATTTTCCTAGCCTCTGCCCAGGATTCCGCCTTAACCTACCAATGTGTGCAGTTGATGTGTGCATTGCACCATACCTGAGACTGCTGCAAATAGAGAAGTAGAGAAGGCTGCTTCACTCCATGCAGACAATCTCATGGTGGCTTACATTTATGGTTAGTTATAATAGAATGTTTAACACAGTGCCTTTCCAAAGTATTCCCCACCTTTAGCTTTTTCATATTTTGGTGCATAAGACTCACGTACATATGACTCAACACTTTGAAGGTACAAAGTATGTTTCTTGTGGCACAAAAGTTAAGTAAATATACATGAAGTTACACTTGTTGGTTACATAAGTATTTGCTTCATTTGCTGTGGCATGCCAAAGCAAGCTCTGAAGCAACCCACTGTCTCCACAAGCCAGTTTAAGTAGGAGAATGGAGTCCACCTGTGTGCAATTCCAGTGCCACATGATTAAATACAGCTGTTTCTGGAAGTTCCAGAGTTTGTTGGGAGAATATCCTAAACAAGAAGTATCAAAAAACCCCAGGAAGCTACAAGTCAGGGATAAAGTTGTGAAGTGCCAATGATAACTCTGAAGGAGCTGGAGAGCTCTGTAGCTGATATGGGAGAAACCATTGATGGAATAATTATTACCTGGACATTCCACAAAGCTGGACTTTATAGAAGAATGGTAAACAAATCCATATCAGAGCCTAGTTGAAGTTTTCAAAAAGGCATGTGGAAGACATAGCAAACAAATACAAAAAAGGTTATCCGTCTGATGAGGTCAAAACTGAACTTTTTATTCTTGCTCCAAAACAACATCTGTGGTGCAAAGTCAATAGTGCTCACTGCTGTGAGAACACCACCTCACAGTGAGGCATGATGGAGGCAGCATCATGATGCGGGAAAGCTTTCCTGTGGCAGAGACTGAGAAAATGGTCAGAAATTGAGGGCAAAATGGATGTTGCTAAATACAGGGCTAGAAGAAACCCAATTTCAGTCTGCAAGGGACCTGAGACTGGTGCAGAGGTTCATCTTACAGCAGGGCAATGACCCTACACACAGCAAAAGTGACACTGGAACGGTTTAAAAACAAACAAACAATATGTCTTTAAAAGCCCCAGTCAAAGCTCAGACCTCAATCCAGTTGGGAATCTGTGGCAGGTCATCAAAGTTGCTGCTCACCAATTATCCCCAATCCACCCTGACAGAGCTGGAGCAGTTTTGCCAGGAATGCGAAACCATTGCAGGATCCAGACATAAAAGCTGATAGAGACTTATCCAAGACAACAAAGTGCTCTATTTCTGTCAAAGGTGCTTTCATGAAGTATTGACTCGGGAAAGTGAATAGCTATGCAACCAACAAGCAACAGTTTATTTTGTTTACATAATTTTTGTGCCACAATGGAAATACTTTGTACCTTCAAAGTGTTGAGTATCTTATATACATCAAGTGGTAACAATGCCAATTAAATCCATTTCACTTCCAGGTTGCAACCCAGCAAAACACAGAAAAGTCAAAGGCAGGGTAAATCCTAATGCAAGGCACTGTCCCTCAGCCTAAAAAATGATGTTCATCTCCATACTGAGTTCAGCTCTGAAGCTAGATTGGAATTCCTCACATCACCTTTTGTGACTAGGCTAGATTTCAAGAAGACAGTATTTTTGGGTGCAGTGCAAGAATATAACTGTTAGAGCACCACTTATTCATTGACAGGAGCCTCTTACTAGGACAGTCTTCCAGAGCAGCAGCAACACCTTCTTCATAGGGAAATGTGGGGCGTGGCCACTGCAGAATTTGGTCACCATCCCGAAAAGCATCACCGAAAATGGTTCACTGTTATACAACGGAGCCCCTGAAAGGTAACATATTTGTGAGAGGCAAATTACATGCAGAGAACTCATTTCTTGCTTCATGTATTTCGACTTCATCCTTGGCAGTCAAGCCACTGGTGAGCATAAATGATATGCCATGATACGGCAGTCCTTAGCACCAGCACCTCTTTGTCACCTTTGTAGGAGCTATTTTCACCTCAACTTAGTGCTAAACTCAAATTTCACTTGGATCTTGTTCATGTAGCCTGAAGGAAAAAAGGGTCTATTTCCCTCCCTTGACAAACCACTAATAGCAATTACAGCAAAATAACTCCACTCCCGGCCTACTGATTCTAGATTTAAAATAAGTAAGTGTTATCAGGTACCCTCATCACTGTAAATGGACAACAATGGAACCAATACCTAGTTCTGCTCTGAAGGTCTGTCTCATTGTCTTCCACTCAGGCTTGTCTCCTTCACACTCTTGACGGACAGTCTCCACAATAAGGTACATAATATTCAACAGCACCCTGCAAATAGATTGTAAACATGAAGTGAGTTGTAGAGGACAAATCTGGCAACATGGTTCAGCTTATTCAAAACTACTTCACTATCCAAACTTCAGGGGTAGGACTGGAGAAAAGAACAGAATGATAAACATTAGCTCCTGATAGACCCACTTGTTTCATCAGAAGCAGCAAAATGTTGTGCTTGGAACAACAGCAAGGGTGGGCTACCTTTTGACTATGAGGGATTCATGCACTGACAAGTTAGGAATCACACCACTGTGTACATGCATGTGTACATGTACACAGTCTCTCCCCTCTCCTCAAGGTGTAGAGAAGGTGGAGACTCAAAGCACCCTGGCCTGTCTACTGAGCTCAGGGAGTTGGAACACTGGGATGGGGAAGGTTAAAACCTCCTCCCTTGATTGGCCCTGAACCAGGTCATTGGGAGGGAGGAGAGATTGAGGCTTCCTTGCTAAAAGAAGGGAGGAACTAGCAATCTCTGCAGCGGGACTTCCAGGATGTGAGGTTAAAGCCTTTTCCCACCTTAAATGATTCCATTTGCTGTTTCCCTGTTATTATCAGTGGGGAAACAGCCACCTGGTGACCAATGGCAGATGGCCTGGGCTGTGGGAAACAGTGGGCAAAGGCCTCTGCAGGTTGCATGAAGAGTCAGACAAAGGTCATATGTGGTCTGTGCATTGGCCATATGTGTGCAATAAAATGGTATATCAGATCTAAAGATCTGAATTTTAGATTTTTAAATTGAGAGTCACCGTAGTGCAGTGGTTAAGAGCGTGGCACTGGGAGTCAGGCAATCTGGGCTCCAGTCCCCACTCAGTCATGGAGCCAACTGGGTGACTTTGAGCCAAACAGACTCTCAGCCCAACCTACCTCATAGGGGTGTTGCTGTGGGGATAAAACTGAGAGCAACAGGAGGAGAATGATGTAAGGTGCTTTGAATTTGTTATGAGAAAAAAGCACAATATAAATCAAATAAATAAAATTTTCACAAATGGGAGAAAATAACAAAATATGTCACTAGCACAGAGACAGTAGGGAAAGGGGGAAACAATTATCCTTGCTAACTTATGAGTCCTTTGTTGTGGATCTCACCTCATTAATACCTTATCTGTTAACATCACTTACCTCAGATCTGTGCTGTCAGCCAGGGAGATGGCAGGCTTCCTCACTGCACTGCTGCAGGCAGCACTGTTACTGAAGAAAAAGAAAAAAGAAAAAGCTGAACTACTTTGCCTACAATTTGGATCCAAAGCCACAAGTTTTAGGACTAAAGCAGCATGGATACAACATGTATAGTTTGTCTTTCTCCACTGTTGGAAATCATTCTGCATATTTGCATATACCCTGTTTTAATTCACTCTCCTACAGCAGCTTCCTAATACAGTTGCTAAAAGGGCTTGCAAACTGGACTAGGTCCAACTAAGCAAGACATTTACGCTCTGTTTCCCAAACTGCTAGAATCCCATAGCAAATTCCTGCTAACTTTTGAAATAATAATTAGGCATGCTGGAGTCTGCTAAAAGAAAAGCAGATTCATTAGCTGCTATATTTAACAGGCTGAGTGCAGATAATGCTCCCTCATTTTGTCTTTTCCTACAAAAAAGGCTACTGTTCATCTACTTCAATCCATGCTTATGGCATAAGAAACAGGCTTTTAGCTAGAACCCCAAAACTGACAGCACCATCTTCTTTATGTCACCTTGGGAGCAGAGCTTTGATGGAAGAAAGGAGCTGAGTGCCAATATGTGTATATGTATGAGAGTGAGAGAGAGAGAGACAGAGAACATGAGTACACTTAGGTTGAAAGAGAAGAGACTGAGCCCTGAACAGACAGCTTCTATTTCACTTAACTTGAAATAATATTCTTAAATTGCATCTTTACACTATACACTACACTTTACACTATAATTGGAATTTTGCTTCAATGTACTTTTGAATTTACTACCGGACCACTTTGAGCCCCCTTCCCCCAAGTACTTCTGGGTCCCTGGGGAGGAATGGCAAAAAGTCAATAGGAACAAAGATCCAGAAGTTCCCAACTGAGTGTCCATCATTGCAAAATAAGTAACAAGAGCCAAAGGGGGGAAATATGGACCTATAATATAAATAAAGATAAGAAAGAATAGCGAGCCATTCATACAAGTGCACTGTTTATACAGATGCCAGTCGATACTGGCCCAAGTTTAGTTCTGCATTGGTAAGCTTATCAAGGACATCCTCAGAACAGATTAAGTTGGTTTCCTTCCCTTATAAGAAAGGGAACACTTCTAACATTTCTAGGTCACATACTGGAAAGACAGGTGACAGGAACTTCCAGTTACACCTGCCTAAGAAAACACTGGATCCTAAACTTTGGAGCCTGCTCAAGACCCCAACAAACTCAAGGAGTGGCTTTCTATAAAATCAGATGAAAATTGGATGGATTCCAGAATAAGCCTGGTATTTGATTATCTTTCAGATAAAACTGTAAAACTTTATACTCTGGTGGAGCTGTTCATAATCAACCTATCTAACCCTCTTACATTCCTCAAACATTTCCAATTCTGCAGCAACATAAAACTCACTCAATTTCCATGTTCAAAAGTTCCACCAAAGCATTGAATGTGCCAACTTCAAGCAGAAGGAATATGTTATATCGAATCCAAGACTGAACTTCAGCTTCAGAACTGCATTCATCAAATGTGCCTGCAGCCACAAAAACAATTTATTTCATCAGTTGTGGCCCATATTAGATTGCACTTTACAAAAACTTATTTATCATCTTAAAATAAAACACACTCTTGCTCTTGAGAATCAAGGTGCTTACTTGATTCTCATGCCTAAGACAGAGGATTCACAAAATTAGTTATAATAAAAAAACCTGGCTAGCATGCACTATCCCATATAATCTGGAATAAATATTTCTAGAACAAACTGTTACAGCATTTACAATGAAACATGGGTTCTGGTGGTACTTAAGAGAACTTCCTTATAGCAACAAGAAATAATTCCCCTTGTCTGTATTGTCTGAAAAAACCCTTTTTGTTGGTTTTGGCATCCCTTGCTAGCCCCAACTCATTCTTGTCTTTAGCATTTGTAATGTCATTCCTGAACTTCTTTATTTGTTCCTTCCTTTGTGCCACCTTATTTTTCTTTTGCAGCCTGGCCTTCCTTCTATTTCCTATGCATGCCTCTTTTTTGTTTTTATATCAACTCGAAGCTTCTCATGGAGCCACATCATTTTTTTTCTGCAATCTTCTATCTTTTGTATTCATTGGAATTATTTGTAATTGTGCCTTTAAAATTTCCCTTTTTAAAAACTCCCTTCCATTCTGGATTCATTTTTTTTCCTTAGGGTCACTTGCCTTAAGACCTTACTTATCATTGTCCTAAGTTTATTGAAATCACCTTTAATCTCATCATACAGCCAACTAAAAACTGTAGAGAGACTTAGTAGTAGGGCTACTACAATACTGCTGCCAAATCTGCAGTTTAATTTTGACCAAGATGGATGAATACCACTTTTGGTTCACTATAAAAATAACTTTCTCTAGAATCTCATCCCAAACAATTAAGAACAAAAACAAAATGGACTCAGTCATTTAAATGCCATGTAGAATGTGTATGAAATGAAATAATGTAGATACCCATGCATTAGCTTTGGCACTGCTCTCTTAATAGCAGGTTTATGTTACAGGAAAAAGAAATTATTTTTATTTTTAAAAGAAGGATTATGTTAATGCATTAATGTAAGAATTAGTCAACATTTTATAATTAAGCAGTTCCTATGACAATAAAATGTGTACCTTGTGCAACATAAAGGATAGCTCGTGCTACCCTAAGCCTTTTCTCCCGAGCAGTGACTTCAAGGCCATCAAGAAGTCTCATGGCATGGGTGCGATGCTGATTGGTGTCCAGTTCTGTCCACTTCTTATCCAGGACTGTAAAGCCAAGAAGTTTGATATGATGCTACTTTCACCAGTCAAGGGGGTGAATGTACAGTTCTAAAACTGAATAGCCTTTAACAGCATGATCTCATTCAGTAAATCAACCTGCTAGAAATCTAACTCTGAGTAGCAACAAAGTCATTGAATACATGAATCACAGTTGCAGTATGTGAATATAACCTGGGGTCATAGTATCAGCTAGGAAAGAATACAACTACAAATATGGACACAATCCAAGTATGTAATTTGGGACATACAAAAGGAACAGTTGAAAACACTCTACCATGAAGCTGATTAAAGCTGTGTCCCTCTCAACAAATCCAGCACTGATAAATTTGGAATCCATATTATTGTCAAGCTTCAATTTAAAGTTACAACTGAAATATAAGAAGCTAAGACAATAACCATTATCATCCATAAAGAATGAACTACTGACCTTCTAAAATTCACAAGTTAATCTCCCTTCATCAGTGCATCGTATTTCAAAGAAAATTCACAAATAAACATTCTGAGTGATCTGACCCTAAAACAATTCACACTGTTCTCAAAAGCTCAGTGAAAGTAATACTGATTTACAACATAAAATATAAAGGTAAACAAGAAATTATCTGTTTAATTCCGTTTCAAACAAAAATATCTAGAACAAACCCAGACCAACACTGCAAGACATGCTCATAGCAGAAATACAATAAATTACTCTTACCATGCAGTCTAAAATCTTCCTCAAAGCATTTTCTGTTGAGTTGGAATTCAGGACCTTCTGTATAGCTATACAATTCTGTCAAGAGACAATGTGATTACTGGGTTCTATTTAACATCACAGCATGGTCTAACAAATATCAGTGCCTTATTCTACACTTAGGTAACATAATTAGAAACTATTATTTCTGGTAGCAAACAGATTAGTGTTAATAACTCTTAATTTATGAAACCCGTAATTTTCATTCAAACACATTAACTTTACTAAGATATATTCTGCCCTGTAGGGTGGGTGAAATGTTTCTCATTACTTTGCAGGCAAAGAGGCTGGGGAAGCAGGAAGACTAAGAGAGCGATCCAATAACCTTAGAAATCATCAAGAAGCCATTGGAAGCCATTGGGTAATTTGGATTCCCCAAATTCCCAGAGACAAGTGCTCTGACCTCAGCACCGGGAATACATGCTCCACACTCTCTCTGTCTTGCTGGCTGGTTCTCTGAGACTGGGAAATCAAAATTAAAAATAGCTGCTTAGCTTAACAGAGTTAAAAAGGAGGCAGAGATCATCTCTGCTGTTTCTCTTACTCTGCACTGAATATTCATAAACCTCTGAGTTCAGGGGCTTACAAAAACTGAAGACAATTGATATGGCTGCTTCCTAAACTGCACTTTGCTCAATGTAGATACACCATAGCTAATGCAAAACATGGTTTGCAAACTGACTTATTATTTTCAATCTTAACCATGGCTTAGATTGGGTCAGGCAAACTTCATGGACCCATGTGTTGGAACTGCACATACACTGTGCCCCTGGTCACCCTCCCATACACACTGGGAAGAGTGCCAAGAGAAGCAGAGGTTTAAGTACAGTGGTACCTAGGCTCATGAACGCCTTGGTTCACAACCAAATCAGGTCGCAAACAAAAAATTCAAGAAAAATTTGACTTGGGTCGTGAACTCTGCATTGGGTGGTGACCAAGATTGCAGTCATCTTCCCCCACTCCCAAGTGGGGAGATGCCCACAATCGCAGTCGTGTTCGTGCAGGGAAGACATGCATGATCGCAGCTGTGCTGTGCCCGTCTTTCCTGCAGGAGCATGCCCATGCCAGGATTTCTTTGAGAAGCACCACCCCAACATAACTGTAACAAACAGAGTGTTGAATATGATGAACGATAACGTGGTCTCTCATTTCCGGAGGGTTATGCGGTGCAGGAAAAAACAAGTGACTATGGACAGATTTTTCACCAAAAGTGACCCTGCAGCTAAGAGACAAAGACGAGAGGAAACCCCTGAAAGAGATCTCCCCAGTGTCCTTATGGAGGGGGACTCTCCCTCAAAACAATAACCTTCCCCCTGCACCTAGGTTAGTGTTCTGCACTGTACAGTACAGTACTTTGTTACTTCGTTGTTCTTTGTCACTTTGTTTCATTTTTTTCTGATAAAAAGTAGTTACAGAATGGATTAACCTTACTTACATTGAACCTTATGAGGAAATTTGACTTGGCTCACACCCAATTTGGGTCACAACCAAATTCCTGGAAAGAACTCGTTTGTGAGCCAAAGTACCATTGTATTCCCTTCCTGCCTGCTCAGACTAGGAGTGGGTCATTAGGGTGGGAGAATTTGAAGAGATCTCGAAAGACTCCTTTTCTGGTTCAATTATCAAGATAGCTTGTAAGGGGGAGAGGTTAAGGACTCTCTTCCCACCTGGCAATTCTGATGCAGACTGTGTTTCCTTGTTGCTATTGGCAGCAAGGAAAAAGTGATGTCTGCAACATTAAAGTTGTCCCCTCCCCTTAATCCTAATTGATGTTTCCTTGTTATCGGCTACAGTACTCTTTTCCCTGCCCTTCATCTGATGCCAGATCAGCTGGGTGACAGGGCCCATAGGCTACTCATATGTGATTTAGGTCTTCAGATTCAATACTTGACTACAGTTATAGAAAACACAGTTACAGAAGGCCAACAACTATCCTACTGAGGTGAAATCCAAACACAAAACATTAACTGAAGGTTGAAAAGTAGCCATATTTTAGCAGAAACAACAAGTACAACCAAAGACATAACAAAGAGCAGAACTATAAATTGAGAACTTTCGTGTGGATGCCACTTCCACATTAAAGAGCATGAACTTTTCTTATATAGTGTTCCTCATAAAAATAAAATCCTGAAAGCAACTAGGAGCACAGGAATCAACAGGGATAATTCAAGCAGGTTTTTTTTCTTAGAAGACACATTTTATTTTGTGTTGTGGCAAAGTTTATTATATAGACTCAATAAAATGACATGATTTTATGTAGACAGTAAACCAGATTGTATTTTACCTGACAGCTCAGCAGCCCATTTGTCTGTGTCTGCATATTCAAACTCAAAGTCTGGTGACTCAGAATAGCCCTGAGAGAAAAGAGAAGCTCCAATTAAACCATTTTTCCAGGCAGACCTCAACCCCTTCCAGAGACAGGTTGAGTTCTCAAGATGGCTCCACTTTTCCTTAGAGCTTCAGGGTTACTATGGTAACTCATTAATCCTTGTCCCCTTGCAAGCGACATCCCTCTCCCTTAAACCTGCTTTGCCACATTGCTCAGCAACTTTTCACAGTCAAGAGTCGTTCTGGACTCTATGGACTCTCCGCTGCCACAGGTCCCATGTAAGCGGGTAGCGGATGGCAGCCTTAGAGCTATTTGTTTCCTATACCTGTACCTATCGCTAGATTGAGGCGACGTCTATTTCTTGACGATGCAGGAGTCCTTATTCACTACCGAGGTGGGTCAGCCAGCCCCAGCTTGCGATCTGAAGCGGTTTTAGACCCTGGCTAAGGTCAGAAGAGAAGCCAAACTGTGGGGGCGTTCGTGGGGCTCTCCTGGAGGATTTAAGCAGGGCGGTGGGTGTGCGCTGAGACACATCCCCGACCAAAGGAGAACTTTCTGGCCTAGTCTAGTCCCCTTTTTATAGCCTCTAGAGCCCTACGAGGCCCGACAAGGAAGCGAAGGGACAGCCCAGCAAGGACCGCCGCGTCCTACCACCTTCCCAGAGCCTTGACTAGGAAAGGGAGAGGCGAGTGGGCGAGGACGCCTCCCTTCCCCCGAGCCATCCGCAGCTCCGCCTGACCTCCGAATCCTTGCGCTGGTTGCGGTTGGGCTCGCGGCCTTTTCCGCCTGGCGGAGGCGGCGTCGTCGTCAGCCCGAGACCCCCGCTCCGTTGCTTATTGTTGACAATTAACAAGCCCGGACCTCCGCCACCGCCCGGCTCCATCACGACGCGCCGGCAGCTCTCGCGGGAGCTCAGACTCACCGCGCCGGAATCTCGCAGGGAACGTCACCGCCCTCCTCTTGAGCGTGGCGGATAGACTGCGGTGGCGCCAGTTCGCCATCTTGAGCGCGGCCATGACGGTAGCTTCAAAAGGACTCATTCACTGTATGGCTGGTGCGCGAGGCAGTGATCCTGCGTGAGCGCCATCTTGTTTGGCCGCGGCAACCCGGCCCTGAGTCTACAAAGCTTGCAGTTTGTCTGTTCGCAGCTACTGAGATGGCAATGGATACTCTCTGGATGCCTAAGACCGTCATCAGCTTTTGTCATGTGAACCCGCGGTTCAAGTGAACTGTAGTATGCTGAAACATATTAACGCTTGAATTTACATCAATTTGCATGTTGGGCAGCTAGGGCTGCTGCTGTAAATCTCTGCGAGACTTCGTGCCCCTGCTCATAATTTTATGTGCCCTCAAGTCGTCAGACTAAACAGCGACCCTATTGAATGTCCTCCAAAATATTATTGTGCACTCCTATAACTAGTTGGAATAGAGAATGTCTTTAACTTTTTTAAATCTCTCTCTCTTCCCCTTAGTAGGTAATGATGCCACCAGGGAGTTTAGTTCCAATCCGGTTAATTAACTTCCCGCAGTATTGTGCCCAAGCTGTAAGGCTGCCTTGTTGACTTTGTGGTCCTGAGGATGAGACATTGACAATCAAACAGCCTGTGACTCTGAGTTAACAATAAACATAAAACTTTATTTGTGCAATAAGCATAATGGTTTCAAGATGTTCTGTCAATTTTCTATTAAATAAAACAATAACTTTTCACTGAGGTTTCTCCCTCTTTCCTTTCACAGTTCCCATACACAGATCCTCATTTCTCTCCTGCACTCAGGTTTCTGTCAGCTTCTCTCACACCTCCTTATAGTACTTGACAATATTAGGTTCTGACTCTCGCATCTTCTAAATATTCTACTTCCTTAAAATCTTAAATGCTTTTCACAGCACTATGTAGGATTCTAATGAGAAGGCTGCCCCTTCAGATTCTGCAGGTTTGACAAGCCTTAATTGTCTGCTAACTTCTGACAGACCACTCTTGAATGTTTTGACTGTTTTCTCTTTCCTCACACCTCATTCCTCATTTATTCCCTCCTTGCTCTTCTGAAATTTTCCAACATTTAAAGGAACACACTCATTTAAATCATTAGTTGTGTTCTTCACAAGCCCTGCTCAGCCCTTGTAAGCTCAGGGCTGTACATTCCTTTATGGAATTGAGCCATCTCATATATGGTTTTCATCTTCTTTCTCTGCCTTCAAATTTGCCTAGCACTGTTAGCTTCTTCAGTGAGTCTTGCCTGTTCATGTAACCCTACTATAACAGTCTCGTGTTGTCATTTTGCTTCTAGAGCAGTTTCAGACTTGATCTGATCTAGACCTCACTAGTTTGTCTTTCTGCTGGTCCAGGATATTTGCAAAGATTTCCTGCAGCATCGTGTTTCAACTACTGATATAAAAGTACAGAAGCCCTGATGGCCTGTTGCATATAATCCCCCTGCATCAGTGGGTTTTCTGCCTACATGTGCTTCACCTGCCACCCCCTTACCTTGAATCTTTCTGCCTGAATCTCCCTCCATGAAATGCCCCTTTACAAACAGAAATGTCCTTGGGTGACAAGGTCTTCTAAAAGCACAGAGAACCTTTCAGAATGCAAGTAAATTAGTATTTACATATTTGCACTTTTTCCCTGTCTACCACCACCCTTGATTTACACACTGGTGGAAAGAGAATCTTAGCTTAAAATTGCCATGCTTATAATACATGGCAGGAATACAGTAGTGTGCTTTCTACATTTGGTCACTGAACTCCACTGCTTGCATTTTCCCCTCTGCATACCAGTATGTCCACAAGTGAGGATTTTTTTGTGAAGCTGATTTAGTGAAATTGTGCCTACAAAAATGTATGTCATAATAAATTGATGTTTTTGAAATACTGCAGGTCATTTCCTGCTGCAGCAGATGGATACTATTACCCTTTGCAAGTTGTGTAAACCAGCCTTCTCCAACTTGGTCCCGTCTAGATGGATTGGACTATGAACTCCTCAGAACTCTTACAATTTCATGAATAGTTCCAAGCTTCCATCACTGTCACACTTTAATGTTAAAGGAGTTGGGCACAACTTAATGGAATTTAATGGAATTCTAAATAGATTTGTACAGGATTTTGTTCTGCCCCCAACTGAGCATTTTGGTGTTATATTGCTCTCTAGGCTTTGGATTTTTAACTGCTTTAGTTTGTCCTCTGTGTCTACAGTTATCGGCAACTAATTAAGCTTTGCCATGCATTAATTAGTTCTTCTCAAGAAGAGTTTGTTTTGAACCAGTTACTACTCAATCTAAAAGAAAAGCCTTTGGTTCAGTTCCCTGCTTCTGCTGCTTTGCATTTCAGACTGAAAACATCATCTGGCCTCGTGTTCTCATCTCATCACTTTATTTCAGCTTATTTCTCTCATCCAGTTGCCTCATCCTTCTACTACTAAGCAGAGAACCTGCATTTATTAATAGTTTATTATGTTAAATGAAGATCTGAGTTGTACAGAAGTGGATTAGATGTGAGTTTTACTGTTTGGATCAACACATTGTACTGTATGTTGAGACCAGAATAGTTGTTATCAAGAATTTTCCATGTATCCGAATATTTCTTATGTTTAAATAGAGTGCTCTGCATTTGAAGTTGGGCTTAAAACATACTAATACTAGTAACTCGTAGCCTGACAGTTCCAGAAAAGACTTCCACTTCTATAAAAAGCATACATTTTAATAGAATTTTAACTTGGGTTGGAATGCAGCAATGTGAAACAGCTGACAATCGACATAAAGTTTTGATGATATATGGGTTCTTAGGACCTACTGTATAATTTAGCAGCACTGAGAAAAAGTAAGGAAGCATCTGTATACATGCTTATATGTAGCAACTTTGAGCCCTAGATTTTCTAGCTCATATTAGTGTTTATTCATGCACCACAAGACTGCTGCTTCTTGAACATGTCACTTTATCCCAGTTTAAGCTCCAGGTCACATTTATTACAGAGAAGCTGCTGTTTTAACAAAATCCTGCACTAGTTGTAGGCAGGCTGAAAGGTTTAAGCACCTTGTGATGGTTCTGGTGGCTTATCTGTGATATGTTAAAGAAATTTAAGCAGAATTGTCTCACAGCCGTCCTGCAACTTTAGTGGGCTACTGTGGCAAAGTCATGCTAATTATGTTACTTTTTAATATTCCTCACGTGTGATGGCTATGGCTAGAATGTTGGTAGTCAAATGGAAGCAGCAGAGGAAGGTATGGTGATAATGGAAATCTCAAAAGACTAGGTAGGGGTCTTGTGTAAGGAAGGAGTGACGTATAAAGGAATAGGACTGTAACCCAACTGCATAGTACTTTAAGACCACATTCATGCAATTACTGAAATTTACGAAAAGTTGCATACTTAAGACCTTTTAATCCTCATACTCTTCAAACAAAGGAAATAAACTTAAAGGAACAAGAATACAAACTACCCATTACAGGCTAATATGATATCTTGCCCTGTAGAAAGCAGTACAAAGAATTCTAGGATATATACATGCTACTATACAGAATGTGAACTTTTGGACGTTGGAATAGTGCCCTTACTTCAGGAAATATCTGTGGTACTCCACTGGGATTGACTTCAGTTCCCATCATTCTCTGTAACTATATTAAGCCCAGCAACACCTGGCTTCCTGTCTCCGCCTCAGTTAATACACTACCAGCAAAGAAAGCACATGTATAATAGGCATTTCTGTATGAGTTAATCTTCACGTGATCTCAGTTGTAAATAAGGAGACTACAACCTGCATACAAAGCCCAAGTCCATCATCATTTTCACAAAGAGATACTATGTAGAATGCTAATGTAAACAAAACCTACTTTTTTGTATACATAACCTAGTATTGTAGCTTTCCTGTACTGTAAGAAAACATGTACAAACACACCTCTTACTCTGCACCCAAAGAATGATACACAGATCACCAGCAGGATGAAATAAAAACTGAAACCTTGCAATTGAAACTGGGCAGGATGCTTGTTTCTCCACTGTTTAGTTGGACATTACTTCAGGATAACCAAACCAGATGCAGCAAAAGCAAAAAAACAAAACAAGAACAAAACAAGAAGACATACAATCTTTAAGGCGGGGTAGGTTTCTAATTGGTTTATTGAGATTTTGCGTAATGATTTATTGCTCATCTGCAAGGATTAATATTGCATTCATTAAAAATCATTCATATACAAAATAAACCTATCCCCACCTGGGTCAATGCTATAACATGCTCCCTCTGACCAAACTGAGGTCTCGCCAGGTATGAGAATTTATTCCATGGCTTATACAGAGATGGAGCCCTTAGCTAAGGTATCTATTGATGCTGCAAGATAGAGGCAGACAAATGCAATGAAGAGATCCTCATTAACTTTAAGGAGGATTTTTTGGAACACACTTTGCTTGGCTAAAGAAATCCAAGTCAATTCTGGGATCAGCATTTGTAGTAATATAGCTGTGGAATCAAGAAACAAAATAGGACAGCCATCTTGATGAAAGAACTGAGAGAACACACATGTTCAGGCCTGGAATAACTTTACCAACAAGGAAAAAACATCTCATTTGGTCTGGCCAAACTTAAAATTATATTCTGGAAAATGGGGTATATTGGAGGAGCTGGGAGCAGCAGGTTCTCCTGTATTCAAGTCAGTCAATGGCCAGCACCAGTCTGCAAGGCTGTCACCATACAGCTTCTGAAGAGGAACCAGACAGCTAGTACAAAAGGTACAAGAGAGAGGTCATTTAAAGGTTTGAGAACTGGAGAGCAAGCTGTATTGGTGTGCAAAGGCTTGGCGGCTCAGGCTTCTCACAGATAATTTAGTCTCCTATGAAGGACTACTAGGAAGGACAACAGCCCTACACCATTCAACAGTGGGGCAAATTTTATGAATATGGCATTAGGAATGTCATTTTCTGTATTTATATCAAGTCTTCTGCAAAGGTTACATAGAAAGGCAAAAGGTTCAAGGTTAATCATGCATTCACTATGATTCACAGTAGTTTCTGGCTCATCACTGCTCTCTGAAACTTCAGCACGAGGCTGAAGTGATCAGACCCAGAGCCTGAACCACACACTTAGCGTAACGTTTGCCTCTGCGATGGTGTAATCCTATTCATGTTTAGACAGAAAAAAGTCTTACAACTCCTAGCATATCTTGGCCCTGTCTAAACATGCACAGGATTGCATTATTTAATGATGCTGAAACTCTCATTCTCATGGCACTAAAGTATGAAATCTGGGCTGCACTGCAATCTCACAGGAGAAGTACTAGTGCTTCATGCTAACTAAACCGAATATGCTAGTCTACAGAGATCAGGTAATTAAAGCAGCAGAGCACTTAAAATAGCAGTGCCAATGGGAAGGGGTTCCACCTTCAATATTCATTTGCTACAAATGGAACCTGAAGATGGAAGGAAATGCTTTACACAATGAATCATATTTATAGGATTTCAGGAGTTAAACTACTACATTATCCAAACATCTCCTGTGCTGTGCAAATGAAGGAATGGAGTACAGGAGATAAAACCTCAGCCCAAAAGGACTGATCTGGTTCTTAGTGGCCCCTAACAGTTCTGCAATGTCTTAACTGAAATCTTCTGCTTTAAAATTGTCCAAACAAAAAGCAAAAGGAATTCTTATCCACTGCCATTTAAAATATGCTTAAAGCAGCAACAACTTCAGGCCATCCCTAAAATCTAATAACTATGAAGAGGTGAAGACAGTGGATAACCAATATCCATTTTATTTCACAATAGCACCCTAGCAACTTAAAATATAAGTTAAAATCTATCTAGGCCTAGCGTAACCAAACATGCAGCTACATGTTTCATGTAGGAAAAATAACCTAACTGATTATAAACAGTTTTTGAAACTGTTCAACTGAATTCAAGAGGACTTTTTCCATGTAACACAATTAGAATCAGAGATTAGGGATTTGGGGAATATATACTTGTAACCTAAATGGTCACAAGGTGCAACCCTGTTCCTAAGCAGGAGAAGGAGTATTCATTTAGCAGCTAATAAATTGGGGCTTATTAAGGCAATTTTGAATTTGTAGATAATTCCACAAAGAAAAAAAATAGTATTCTTAATATTCTGCAGATCTATCAACTACAACTAAGGTGCCATGGAATTTTTCAAATTTAAAAATGAAGTCACCACAGGAAAGGAATGCCCCTCATCACCAAAGGGAATTCTCTATCTAGTAACAAAACAAAAGAACTGAAACTGCATTGATTCAGTGGTAATGCAGTAGGGAAATCCCAGATTGTCTGCAAGGTCAGACAGAGAGAGATGGAAATATTAAAGAACAAGGAGGGACAATAAAATCACATGAAGAAAAGAAAAAAAGTGTTTGGAAGTAACATAAAATATATGTCTTTAAAAATATTCTTGCTAAAGCTCTTGTGTAGATTATGTGGTCTGGTCCTTCATTATTATGGTCCATCAGTACCTATAGCAAAGGAAAGAAAAAGCCAAAGTTAGGAACTAGGTTCTCCACCAAGACACACTATCAACTGCAGGCACTCCTGAGTTCAGGACCGCTGCATCTGCCAGTCCAGTTCTAGACTTTCCTTGTTTGATATCAGATATTAGTTGTTGTTTTTTTCATTCACGGCAATTAAGCTACAATGGCTTTATATTTTGCCTATTTCTTTTATTATATTTGTACCTCAACCTTTCTTTCCTAAGGGTCAGAGCCACCTCACAGTCGCCTTGCTCAGTAGTGTATGCTCCAAGTTGCTGGATGTTGCCCTTGCAAATTTCACTGAGGGTGAGCAAGCCCTGGAACTGCTGCTTTTAACATTCAAACCCACCATCAAAGTTCACAACAGATGAAACTACAAAAATTTACAATTCATGCTGATGTATCTGAACAACAGGCACAAGTCTTGAGATGCCTCCAATTCCCCTCATGGAGATAGTTACCTATAATAGTTTGGTTTAAAGGGCCCATTTTTATTGAGTCCCAGATATTTTGCTTGATCATCTGTTAGTTCTGTCAGATGGGCATCAAAAGAAGGCAGATGCAAGCTGGCAACATATTCATCTAAAAAAAAAAAAACAAATCAAAGATATGGTTAAGATAATTTTTAAAAATCCTATTTACCTTTAAAAAGTTATTTCTGCAAGTTGTCCCCACTAATTCTAGACTCAATATAAGGCTAATGTGCATGTCTAGCAGACTGCATGAAGACTGAGCCAGAGGAACAGTTTATAGGTATGGTATTTTCCTTGCTCTGCGTTGTCCCAAAGCAGTCATGTAAGTATGTCTTCCTTAAGCTTCTACCCTAAAGTCACTGATGAGAGAAGTTACCACTAACCTAGGCTTAGTTATAAGTAACTAATTTATAGTTATAATTTATAGTTAATATAGTTAACCATAGTCTAGGTGCCATGACTTCGGAATCTTCCATTCTAGACTCATATTTAAAAAGAGCTTTCATTTCACAATTACTACATTTATTTTTTATATTCTTGCCAAAGGGCACAGTAGATGCTTTAGCCTTATGGTTTTCTTAGTCAAGTCATCCCATCACTATACTGGTATCCAGAAATAACAACAAGTATATTAGAATGATCTGAAAAGTACAGAAAGAGTTACTATGCTATTTAGGGCAATGCTCAGATTCTAGTAGTCCTGTTACTCATTTTCTGATTATGGTGCTGGCAAACACTTTGTATTTACTTACTTTTAACTTGCTATCCCATCTGCTGATAGTACTATTCCCAATGTAGAATACCTCTAGCTTATATCCTCAGGTATACAAACACAGCAATGCAGCACAACAGTTCAAAATCAACAGAGCATTGCTCTTTCGTACACAGGGGACAATTATCTAAAAAGGCCTAAAATCCAGTGGCTCAGTGGCCTATTTCATCTTAATATCATTGCCAAGCACACGTACGTCAACCACCTGCAGCTAAAGTTTATTTGCTCACCCATCTTTTTAGGCAGGAGGTACACATCTTGTTTGTATCGTCCCTCAGGAGCATTATAAAGCTCAATCAAAGCCAGAGCCTGTGAAGATCAGGAATATGCTGACAACATCCATTCTTTGCAGAATACTCAAACATTATAATTGTAGTTCTGACATGTCTAGTAGCAAACCTATTACTGTATTATTAACACAAATACTTTAGACACTGAACTTCAGGGTGGTGATCTTCTAGCTTGTAGAAGACTAACAATTCTGAGGATCTTTTTTGAAGCATTCCAATCACAAGGTAGGTTTGTTGGTATAGAATACAGCACATTAGTGTAAGCTCTTTGCTGATGCAAGATGAAGACAGAGAATAGAAAAAAACCTAAAATGTTATAAAGACACACTCAAATTCCTAGATCTAAATACACTAAGAGGCACAGTGTCATTTTGTTGAAGAAAAAGGTCAGCCTCCCGTGGATGTATGTATACAGCACCATTCAGCTGAACACTATCCACACTACCTCCTTATAACCTCTCAAGATTACAAGTGATAATTACAAAAGCATTAGCTGTTATCAAAATAGCACAAAAGTTATGCTGTACAAGGAAGGGGCCATCATAAGTGAATGAAACAGCAGCCTTAGGTATTTAATTTATCTGTGGGCTCAGTGTACAGGGACAGAATCTTGTATCTTGAGTACGCTGGTCTTTTCTTGTAGGGAAATACCCCAACCACATGTGGTCGAGGGCACAGGAAGAATTCCAAAATGCGAGGACAGTTAAGCAAGGTTTCAAGGGGCAGGGCTTCCAACAACCAACATAACTTCCCATCTGTCTGTCATGGCTACTGATAATGCCTCACTTGCTATCCTTGGCTCAGTTCTCAGTTCTCCTTCCACAAGCTGAACCTCTACCCCTCAGGAAAAAAAACTTCTATGCAATTAATAGTTGAGGTACATTGCAGAAAAATATGCAAGTATACAAGCTCTACTGGTATATATACATTCTAGAGGCATTCTTTTTTAAATACTATGCAAGTATTTAAATAAATAAAATGGCAGACAAAACACATTTCAAAAGTGCTATCAACAGCCTTTTGCTTGGATTTTAGTTAAAGATAATATAAACGTGGCTATCATCTATTCTATTTTCAATCACCATAACCAGCATTTTATAAATACAGCATAAGACAAAACAGGGAAGCTTGCAGGGGAGGTATTTCGCAATCACATACCTGAGTGGTGGCTGTGATAGACAGAACAAATGTAGGAACAGTTGAACAGCTCAGATTGAGAAGTCGTCCCTAGAACAGGACAAGAAGTCTTTGAGAAATCACCATAGAGCAGGCACAGAATGAGCCATCAATCCCTTGCATCACAGGCCAAGTTCAAGTTATGTTACCAAGTGTCTACCCATCAACAGACTTAAGGTAGACCTGGATTTGCAAAGACAGAATTGACATATATTTCCGTTTTTTTGTTTTTTTTTAAAGGCTGATTTCCCAGAGGCTGTCAAAATGACATGGATCAAATGGGCTAGGCCCCTCAGTTCACCCTGACCCATGAAGTCAGGCTTTCAGTGTTTTTTCATGGTTATTTGGGAACTGCATTGAAGGCTCCTTTTGGGAGAAAGGAAAACAGTGCGCCCTTAAAATCTCCTCCTTTTGGAGTAGCTGGAGACTTGGAGAAGTGTTAACAATTTGGAGGAGACTGACAAGTGCCAATTCAGCACTAGAAATAGAAAGCATTACACTGCTAAGGGGAAGGTTTTAAGCCCATACCCTTTGGTATACCTATGATGCTTTTTTCCCTTTGCCTCTGTTTTCCATTTGACAACCAGGCAATTGACAGCTGTCAAGTATTTGCAATTTAGCCTATATGCAGTCTCACCTTGTCAATCTGTTAGCATTTACAGCTGAAACTGGCAAGGGCATTGACCAAGCAAGACCTCATATACTGGAAAACAATAAAAGCACACTTGTAGAATTGTGAAAGACTGACCGAACCACAAACACAAATTGCAAAGACATTCACCTAAATTTCTAGAACCAAAAAATAAATAAAATAAAATATAAATAAATGGTGGCAAACCTGTGACAGTCCATCTAAAGTGCCTCTTGGATTTTTCTGGAAAGGCTATCACAGGCAGCAGCACAGGTGTGATTTTAAAGGATGGGAAGAGGGTTTTACTGCTTTTGCCAAAAAACTTACTAACTAATCCCCGTAATCCAAAATAAAATTGCTCTGCCTGGTTTGAATGATGTGACAACTGACTGTGGGTCAAACATCCCTAGAACTAGCCATAGGTTGTCAGGGTGGCTTGCTGCTCAACAGCAGAGGGTTCAGATGAGTTACCCACAGTTGGTTGCCATGTTGTGTGCATCTAGTCATTGTCTACTCAGTGTAACAGTTCATACTTGCTTGCATTGCATGCAGTTAGGTGTTCATCCTATTAAATTTAAATACTCTGGAATCTGAGAAGCAAACATTCAACTCCCTGTAATGTTTTCTACAGAAGCTTTTACCTGGGCCTTCCCCGACATACCTCAGCTAGTAGAACAACTCGCTTGCCATCAGGCCAGATAACATGATCCACTTGAGAGCGTACACGCTCCCAGGTCAGCTCTGGAGTACGAAGACTAGCCTGAGAGAGAAAAAAGTGAGGCAGGATTCAGTTGCTACACTCATGTGGAAGGACTGAAAGAGTAATTAAGGTTAACAAACACTCACCACATCAATTTCAGTGTTGGAATGGCCCATATTACATACAATGCAGCTATTCTTCATTCGATCCAAGTGCTCCCTAGTCACAACATTCTTATTTCCTACGGTAAAAAAATATTTATTTAATTTCTAAACTTCCAATAGGCAAAGCTACTTTTAGCTAAAAATGCAGCTAAAGCAAGTTAGCTTTATTTGATGAACCACCAAATTTCACTTCATTAAACCTAACGCTTATAAGCATTATAATGTGCTTTAACACTAAATTCTAAGGGGGGGGGAATACTTCCTGATCAAATACAAGTATTATTTACTGTTAGCAGGCAAAAAGACAGTTAGAATTTCAGTGTGCGTGGAAGAATTAGTAACTACATTTGCACACACGCTCCCACTGCTCCTTGGATATTTTACCTGTGCATGTTATGACTACATCCACTTGACGAATAACTTCAATGAGCTTCACCACCCGAAACCCATCCATGCTGTCAAAGAGATGGTAAGACATTAAAGTCACACTGGTTTCAGTAATGCAAAAATGAACTGGTTGTTCTGACCATTTAAAACAAGCTCTCCAGATTAGAGAAGTTTCAAGAACCTGTTGGCAATGTCATAGTGCAACTATGCACATGCATTTTTAAACAGCTGTTTAAATAAAGGTATTGCTCCAATAGTATGGTTTTGGGAGTAACTTTATTAATTAAAGTTTTCACCAAGATATTTTTCAGAAGTAATGGTAGCTAGACTCTGAGGAGCTAATGAGTATAATGTTTTTGAGGCATGCGATAATTGTGAAGTAAAATTTTTACATTATTGATATAAACATTTACTTTGATATTAATATTGTAGTAACTGGATTGTTCCTTTTCAACTTTTCAAATGCTGACTGGTTTGTTTGTATTTTAAATATTGGAATTAGGGGGAAGTGCCATGGTTTATTAAAAGTTTGTGCATTCCAACCTTCCTTATAGGCTTCACTTCCAAAACCTTCCACTTCACTTTTTTTTAACCCATTGCCAATATGGACTTCCATGTCATGAAAATGACTAAAAATAGTGGCATTGTCTAAAATAGTAGCAATAGTGGAAGAAATGAAGATAATCAGGATAAGCTGTTGTACTAGCCCAGCTAATCGCAGGATAAGTCACAGAAGATTGCCTTATTGTAAAATGAAGTATGTCCTATGTCTAGTAAACATGGAATAGAGAAACATTTCTTGGTATCTTTGGCAGTCTTGCAAAAGGACAAATGAATCGTATGGCAGTCAGACAAGAAGAGGATATCATGCAGGACTTAGAACAAAACCTCCAGGGGTAAGCAGAGGTCTGCAGGTTCTATAAGAAAACCCAGCACGCTACAAATGGCCTCTAGAGTTCAGAAATAAAGAAATAACATTCCATTCTATAAAATATGTCAGGATAGTCAAATGGCAAGCCCAATTCAATATTACTGCTTCTAAAAATCTTCCTGAATTGTATCCAGTTGTGTATCTCTGCTCCTTGACAGCTCTTTGTTCTGGCAGAGGCTTGCCCTAATGGAAGGGGAATAGAAGTGATTTAAAAAAAATCTCTTTTCTGCTTTGCCTCTCTGTGCCACTTGCCACTTTAATCCAAAATGTCACCTGCTCCTCTGGGACAGATGGAGGTGGCACAGGGGGCTACAGAAGGATTCAGTAGACCTCACTTTCTTCTACTTCTATTCATTAATGCTTCTACTGCATCAAAAAGAGTTCTGTGAGGGGAGGGACACAATCTGATACACTGTTAGATTTTGCCTTTTCCCCCCCATCCTTCATTAGATGACTGATGACTATTTTATTTTTCTAATAATTTATTGATTAGATTTATATCATGCTTTTTCCCTTTCAAGGAACTCAAGGTGGCTTACATAATCCTCCCCCTCCTCCCAGTCTTATCCTCACAACAACAACCCTGTGAGTTAGGTTGGGCTGAGTCTCTGTGGCTGGCCCCAAAACACCCAGTTATCTCCATGACTGAGTGGTAACTAGAATCCAGATCTCAGGAGTAGCAGTGCCGCACTCTTAACCACTACACCCACTGACTATCCTTGTGGTTAGCACATACAGCTTCTTTTAAGCAGTGGCAAGAATTTCACTGCTTCTTCTAGACCAATATTCTTCATACAATGGAAAATGTGTGAACTTAGTAAAACAGCCTTTGCTATTAAACAGCATCTGTTGCAACAGTCTCAGGCTCATGAGGAAAGTGTTCTTAGATATAGCTATACAAGGTCACATTCACAAATTCATCAAAAAGGAGCCTAACGGAAGATCAAAGATCCCCAGAAGATGTATACCTCTTGTGGTAACAGTTCAGGATTGTGGCGTTCTGGGTGATAAAAGGCTCTTCTTTAATGGACTGACTTCATTTCAACTTTCTGAATTGGCCCCAAATGAACACCAAACAGTAAACAGTAAAATAAGAATGCTAGTGCTCTCAAAGAGCAGTGTTTGTAGTAATTCATCTCTTACCAGGCTTGAAGAGCACAGATGGGATCAATCTCTGTGATGTAAACTATGGCGCCCAGGGCCTTCAAAGCTGCACAGCATCCTTTCCCAACCTGAAATACAAAATAGCAGCAGGCACAAAATCAAAGCAAAGACAGGAGTGTCTTAAAGTCAACAGATTTATTGTGGCATAAAGATCTGTGGAATCCACTTGAAACACACAAAGACAGACATATACAAACTTTACATGGAGAAGTAGGGGGAAATGTAACAAACAAGGTTAAAGAACCATGAAATACAGTCTGGTGAAAATGTATACTATAGTTTATTCACTGGTGGACACATGTTAGGCAAATACAGATTTGTGTTGAACAATCAGGTTATGCAAATGTGTTAGAAAATTTGCTCCTTTTGCTTTATGCACTAAACTACAGTAATACAACCAACTTTGGCTTGTTTGTAATATTCTGTGGTTGCTATTACTACACCTGTAGTTGCATTCTTCCAGTTACTATGAAGTGAAGACTGCCTAATGCACCATTCACTGTTCCAGTATTAGTATTACTAGGGTCTGTCTTTATAGAATACAGTAACTTAATACTTTTAAGACTAGAAACATAATCGATAATTATGCTTGCACTGGTTTCCAAATATGTAATAATTTAAAGTTTGTTCTTGTTTAAAGTTTCTCTGCATGCATGTCTATTCAACCAAGTCAAAATGAAGAAGAAAAAAGGAGCCTTTTCTCCTGCCCACCAAGTTCTCTATATATTACAGTCAGTCACACGAACACATAGACATTTATCTCATGAAATATGAACAAATGTGTATTCAGGGGTATCATAGTACTGTTTTTGGTAACCCCCTTCAAAAATAAAACTTAAACTGCAAGATACTTAATATTTTAAGTACATGATCACAATCTCTCTTTCTCAATCGTGAAATGATAATTCAGGAAAACACATTCCCTGCTCAATGTCAGGAGCCACAACATCCATTCAAACAAGCAAAAAAAGTTCTTAATATTTGGAAAAGACTCTAACCTTCATCATGTAAGAATGCATGGCAGAAAAGGGTACACTCTGTTTCCAGGAAAGAAAAGCCTATCATGTGGCTAAGCCCTCTACTGACTCATTTTCTCCACTTATGAACTCATGTCACATCTCACCTAACCTAGTAGTATTTTTCTTTACTTTAGAAGGTAAGATAGTGTCACTAAGCTGACCATCTCCCTGTGTGAAGCCGAGTTACCTAGGGACAGTAAGAACAGGAGTCCAGAATCTTTGCCTGACTTGGAGTGTGTCTCTGCATATCCTTGATTCTTAAGTGCTTTTATTTCGGGCAAGGTCAATTCAGTAGTGATGCTTCAGCTGTAAAGACAGGATCTGGTTGAAGAATTCCCCATTTGACACCAATGTTGACTTGCTCCTTGACACAAAAGCATACACAGATGGTCCACCACAGTACTTGGTAGAATACAGTCTATTCACTGAAACTCAGTCTAGAACAGAACAAGTCAAGGATTGGAGGTGTTACAGGTGAACTGCATGTCATCATGCAGGGAAGAGCACTTTGTTCATAACAAACAGTACTAGATTAAGTGCCTCATAAGTACATTGTGCCAGCAATTGGAGATGTATATATACATTCACCCCAGGGCACACGGTGATTTCTTTCCAGGTATGATATAATCCTTGGCAGGTGTTTCTCAACAACTTCAGTACAGTACTGTCTAGATTAGAGTTTGCCCATCTCAAACTAGCCCTTTCAGGATCCTTGATGGCTTTGTAATGTCATTTCATCTTTTTCTTTGGTTGCCTGAAGCCAGTACAGGTTCTTCTCTGTACCCCTCCCTTCTTTTGTTTTGACTTCATTGGACAGAGCTTTTTGTCCACTTGTACTTGTTTAAATCATATAAACATCCTTGCTTCAAACCTGTTGTGTCCTGGGGACTCAAGTCAGACTCAATTTGCTGAAATCACTCAGATCAGGTGCCCTTCACTGACATAATTTTTCCGTCTGAGATCTTTTGGGCTTCCTTTTCTTCTTCTGCCTGTAACCAATTTACTTAGCCCTGATTTCTGCACTTTGCCAGACATGAAACCACAGACTAACTCTTTGTACCTCAATGTTCCATGCATGTCCATAGCCTAGTCTTCTATGTACCACAACACTCATTTTGGGTCAAAACTAGGAAGTAAATAGAAGTAAAATCTGGATCAAATGGGGTACTCCCCTCACTGTGGCCCCATTCACTCTGACCCATTTAGCTGCTTTCTTGGGGGGTTTTGAGCATTGTCAGAGAACCACAGTAAGGCCCCTGAAAAGGAGATGCAAAAAAGGTGGACTTAAGGCTTCTCCTTTCTGAGCAGCTGGAATCTCAGGAAAGTTTGAAAAAGTGAAGGACATTAAGAAGTGTCAGTTCAGTACCAGAATTCAAGAGGATTACATTGCTAAGGGGGAAATGTTAACCGGACCCTCTTTCAGTGCATCTACTCTTTTTCTTTTCTTTTCTTTTTTCTCCTTTGCCAATGCTATCCAATTACTTGCCTATGCTAGGCAGCTGACAGCTGTAAACTGCTCTATACTGTCTATATGAAACTGACAAGGATTTTGACTACATGCACAACTACATACCAGAAGGTTGTAAGAGCACACTTGCAAAAAGGTGAAAGGCACAAGCACATACACAAATAAATCTGTGCCCATTTCTGGTGCAAACCCCTCTCACCTCGCTGCCCAAACCAGACCCTAAATGAACTTTTGTTTTTTGTTTTTTTTTGAAGCTCTGGGAAACAAAATATGGTCATGATAAAAGCAAGGATGAGAAAGGGAAGATGGGTTGTGCTGTGATGTGCACTGAGAAGCTGGCTGGAGGACCAAAAGGGAAGAAGTGAGAGAACAACCCAAGGAAAGCCCAGTTAGGTTCATAGACATGCCAGGAACAACTCACTTATTTTCAGGGAGGGTTGGCATGTTGTGCAAACTCACCCAGTATCATTTAAATTGTATTGACAACATCCATATTTGATCAGTGCAATTCATGCACGTTTCCAGGCAAGATGGCACACTATGTCTGTGGTATCATGTCTTAAATTCTTTCTAGACTTTATGGTACAAATACAGTCAAACTTCCACATTAGTGGGGGTTAGGGGTGCAGGACCCCCACAAAAGTGGAAAAACTGCAAATATTTCTAGCCACCTCCCCTCCCCCCCAACTCTTAATACAGTTGACCATGTGTGTACAGGATTGCTTCTCCCTCTTTACCTCTGTGTGTGTTAGCCTACATTGTTGATACGTTCACCTACCAGTTAATTGAAAAACATTTTAAATTTTTAATACTGCTCACTTTCTGCCTTTGTGAGGATAGACAAATATCCACTTCTACTTCCAAACAATGTCTTTCATACAATGACTAGGCTAGCGATGACTATGTACAGATGATGATGAAACATGAACACCTCTAACACATAGTTCTTGTTGCAGTATGAGACTTACAGTAAGTACAAACACACTCACACTCAGTCAATGTTTAATGTAACTGTACAGCATTATTGTAATTTAGTTGAGCAGTGGAAGTGGATTGTCAGGGTCTTCATCCTCATTGTCATCTAGGTGTTTCATATCTGGATGCAGAAGAGGACAAGCAGAAGGGGTAGTGGGGCAGCAGAGGTGGAAGAGGAGGCAGAAATACTTGGTGTTATCTTCTTGAAATACATTGTGATTTCAGTTTGGCTTTTTTTGCCTCTTCAGTTCTTTAAAAATGTTGGTGTACATAAACAATGCCTCTTGTACCAATTCCTTCACTTTCAAGGAACACATCATAGACTGGTCGATGTCATAAAAATGGTCCATAGCATCCGAGAACTTATGTAGTCCCTCTGCAATAAGCTTGTCTTCTTGCACTTCTTTGTCTGGTATCACCACTGCTTCAGGAACAGTCAGCTCCATTAGGTCATCCTCTTTTAAATCATTAGGGCTACTGTCGGGTAATTCTTGTAATTCCCCAAGATCCATATCCTTAGACCCTTTCCAAACCTCCTTCTTTGCCAATTCCACAGTATCTTTCATAATATCTCTGGCTCTGTAGTAAAGTCAGTGAACATATTCACACATTCTGGCCAAAGATTCTTCCTGCACAAGCTTACTGTCTCTGGCTTGCTAGCTTTCATGGCTCCTTCAATGACGTGTACTCCTTCCACGTTTTCATTATGTTCTTTACACTGCAGTCTTCTTCCAAAGACTGCACAATCCTCTTCATTGATTAGTGTTGTGTGCCTTAAACATCCGTATTACCCTCTGTTTGCGAGGCTGGATGAGAGATGTTGTGTTAGGGGTATGTAGACACTTCAATGCCTTTTGTAATTTTCACATTATGTAGGCCAAAACTTTTCCTAAAATGATCAAACCAGCTTTTGCTGGCATTACACTCTGTAAAGCAAACTCCTTTGCCATCTCTTTCCTTTATAGAAACATATATGGATTTTGGTGCCCCCTTATCATCTTTGAATCTATAGGAATCTCTTTTTATAGCAATCCTGCATCCACATAAAAATAGGTCTTTCTACACGAGAGATATATGGATCTTGCATTTGATACAGAGTCTTCATGCCACTACTGTAGCTGTAGCACTGGCTTCATGAATTTTTTTTTCTTTTTTCTTGATATACCTTCTGGTCAACTCATTGATGTCGTAATGGTGGGCAAACAGAGCAGCTAACTTCATTGTATGAAACTTGTTTAATAATTAAACCTTTTCTTTTTTTTTCTTTTTTATATTATAAGATAAAAAGAAAAAAGACAACAAGAAAAGAAGTAACTTGAAAAAGAAAGAAAAAGTTATCAAGGGACCTTAGACAAAAATTACAGATAGCGCTAACTGTGGGAAATTACACAAACACTGAATTGTTATTATTACTTCTATCAATTTTGTAACCGCAATTTTGACTTAATAATACTGGGTTATTACAAAAAAAAACACCCTTTAACATGGGTATCAAGTGAATAATAATTCACCTTATAGCATATCCACAAACTCACCAGCAATTAATATTTGTTTTTTCCCTTTCCCCCCCAGATAAAACAATATCATAATAAAAAATTAAGATAATAAGCAATATTAATCTGATCATTGTATGCATAATGCTTAATAGTAACACTCTCAATTGCTAAATAAAGGATATATAATAGGTTTTCCATTTAACATATAATTATTTTATTGGTCTATACATAGTTGATTAGTACAAGTATCAGCTAGGTCATCTTACATAAATTCTATTTTTTCTCTCAATTGTTGAGTAAGTAAAATATGTATAGTAAGCTTTCCATTCATCATTAAATTCTTTGGCTGGTTTTCCGTTTATATAGCTGGTTAATTTTGTCATTTCTGCATTTTCTGTTAATTTATTCTTTCCAAAGTAGTTGGAAACTACTTTCAGTAGTTGGACAATCTTCTGCTTTCCATTTTGTTGCAATTATAACTCTAGATGCTGTTATCATATATTTAAATAATTCTTTCATATTTCTTGGAAGAGTTTCTGGCACAATACTCAACAGCATATTCTTAGTGCTCTTAAAAAAGTTAATTTTAAGCATGTCTCTCTTTCCAAAATGTTTTGATCTTATTGCACATCCACCACATATGGTAAAATGTCCTGACCACTTCCTTGCATTTCCAGCACTTCACATTATAACTCTTTTCCATTTTCTCAATCTCTTTTGGAGTAAGATATCAATGAAAGAACATCATGTACTAATTTTCTTTTAGTATGTGACTAGCTGTAAATTTTACATCTTTCATCAGTAAGGTTTCCACTGGTGAAAGGACTATTTCTTCCTCAAAATTCTGCATCCATCTTATCATACATATTTTAACTTGTTCAGTTTTAGTATCATATTGCAGTAATTGCTTGCAAATACATCTTTATAAATGATCTTTATGTTGCAAAATCAACTTTTCAAACTGCAATCTTTTCTTGTAAGGTCCTCAGTTTATTTTGCCTCTTGGGAGCACTTTCAGAAGTAGTATGCTTTGGACCCATGATTACGGTTGATATTCTATTGCATTTTAAAAATGCAAAAAGTTGCAAGAAACATGAGATACACCGCATACAATACCTAGACAGAGTGTGGGATCCAACCAAAAATCCCATTTAAATTATTGATGGCAAACTTGCAAATAATCAAATCTGCAAAAGTTGAACCCACAAAGTCAAGGTGTACAAGATGTGAAAATACGTGCTAGAATCAGCAGCTTGCAATTACTGTGCCAGCTATTACAATTTGACATACTATCTTCTGTTAATATATTATTTCTTTCTAATGTCTGTTGTATTATTCAGATATTAATCATAAAAGGCAGATGATGAATGTTAAGTAAAGGGATACCAATGAGAGCTGCTGAATAATGACTTTTTGCAACTCACCTCACCATAGCCACACACTACCACTTGCTTTCCTCCAAACATCACATCAGTTGTCCGCTTTAGGCTGTGAGAAAGAAAGAGAACCTTTTTGAGAAAATTATCATGTGTAAACTTGACTTTGGCTCAATGCAATTTTCTGGAATTCCACACCAGTATGGCAGTATGCTGCAAATGGACATGACAGTAAGCCCATCGATTTAAACATCACCACATAAATGCATGACCTGAAAGCAGAGGGAGGGGTTTGTTTATGTTTTGCAGTTACCAAAATTTTGTGTTAGGCTCACCCATCTAAAATGGACTCTCTGCAACAGTACAGATTATCAAATTTCTGTTTGGTGACAGAGTCGTTGACATTCATGGCAGGAACACACAATTTCCCAGCTTTTGATAACTGGTATAATCTGAAGAGGGGAGAAAGAATTTTTCAAAATTAATTACTGATGCAAAAAAGGATAATGAGGGAAAATATTTGCTCCCTTGGTTAATACTAAAGGTCCACAAAATAAAACCAAGCAGCAGAAGCTCAACCAGTTTCTGAGGAAGTAACTCAAGTATAATGAAGGGCAAACTTGCTGAGGAGGATGGACAGTGGAACATTAAAACTTATTTATGATATTTGTATGCTGTCCTTTGCAAAAGCCTCAGGAAGGCTTACACAAATAAAATACAAATATCTAACCTAACATAAATTAACGACTCACTCTGGCTGCAATTAACTTATGTATTATTTATTGAGAAGAAACAAGACTGCTGGGTGGAAAGTTTTTCAACTTTTGAGTTAGTCCCACGGATAAACATAGGGATTGATAATACACAGCCCATGGGCTGCTTCAGGATTTCTGGGTGTGGGGAATTTATGGGAGAAAAATGGCTTCTGCAGTAGCTAAGGAGAATCCAAAGTGCTGAATTTAGTTTGCAAACAAGTTAATTTTGAAACTTTTGGCACTCTGTGGCATTATGGGTGCAGACTTTCATTATTTTTTATTTTATTTTGATGCCTGTACAATGGGAATAAGCAGAGTTAAAATAGCTCCCAGACCTCCTGCAGTTGCCTATCCCTACTTTAATAGCTAGAAATAAAACTGGCACAAAATCTAGTTACCTTAACTCACATGTGGCATGGTTTTGCTGCCTTATTTCCTCCTCCCTTGTCCTTAGCTACTATGCTACAAGGGCTTTAGGATTAAAAGTGAGCTCTACTGATCTTTCATTGGGGAAGGCCTCCAAATTATCCAAAGCTTAGTATTTAATAAGCAAAGACAAAGAAAGTGCCAGATTTAGTTTGTTACCTGTGCACACCTGTCACACTCTCTTCAACAATGCCTCTGATCTTCTTAAATACATTTGGATATTTCTTATAAACCCAGTGTGTCAGGTCTCCCCCATCATCCAAGATCTAAAAATATGGGAAGCATAATCAGTTCAGATCTTTGCTGCTAATGCACCATGTTGCACCTAAATTCACTGTAAAGTACAAACAACAGGGATTCTTTTGATATGTAAATAAAATGGCAGTCACACACTGACTGGGGATCAGAACACTGATTCTTTTCATTGCCATCCAAACAACATACGTAACCTGATCTACTTTTCTAATGTGAGAACTGGAATACTTAGAAAACATAGTGTTACAAATATATAAAGTATATAGATGCACATAAAGTAAATAAGCATAAAGTGTACCCCAGAGCACAAGTGATAATTACTGAAAAAGTAGAGCAGAAGGTATTATTATTATATATGTGCATGATATATTCCCAGAATAGGGATCACCCACTCTTGGGTAAGAAAAATGGAAGGTGTTCATCTATAACCTCTGTTCTTAAGAAATTGGAGGAGTAAACAATATGCAAGTATTATGGTATATCATTTATTCATTAGGGAAATACTTTTTGCTAATATATAAACACAAACCAAAGTGGATGCATGAGACCCAGAGATGTTATTGCTGCATATATTGTCCATCCCTACATACTAAGAGTTGTTTGCATTATGTGACCTACTGAATTCATTGTGAGGAAGGAAACTTCAACACTATTTTACCTGGACTAATAAATCAACATTACAACAACAGGGATAAATATCAAATGCATCCAACACACCAGTCCATGCCACTTGACTCCTAATGGTACTCTGGATGATACAGAACTAATTTACTGGGAAAATGATGCTTCTAATAGCTTCAAGAACATAAGACAGACAGTTGTCAAATGCACTTGTACTTTTCCTGTGCTTGTAAAAAGAGCTATTCTAAGAGAAACAAGCCAGCAGTTATTTTTCCATGAAATGAGCAGTCCTTAATAGATTGCACATTATATATCTCTCATGCTAAAAAACAGGCATTCTGTTGTTTCCAAGTGATTCAGACTGTTATTTACCTAGTCAATTACCAGGGAATCTATATAAAGAAAAAATAAGCTTTCAACTTTTGTGGAATTAAGTGTGATTATGAAATGATTTTTCAATGATTTCACAGCTTTAAGGTTCAGGAAGCTGTTACCACACTAAAGTCAGAACATAAAGCAATAGCAAGCTGCTTTCCTCCCCCACCCTGGGTCTCCCTCTTTGTATCCACCTTATTACTAATATCAGAGCTGCCATGTCCCAAAAGCATTCATCACATTTATATTCCTTCTTTCCTCCAATACAGATATTTTCCATTGCTGTAAAAGCCCCCTGAGGTAGGTTAGAATGAGTGGTAGTGACTTGCACATAACCATCAAGTGAACCATGGCTAAGTGGGGGATGAATTCACACACCTACCTGCCCACCACCACCAGTCAAAGTGCAGAGATCTCTTCACTACACTGAAATTTCTCTGTTGAAATTAGGCTTTTTGTAAAATGACCCCCACAAATTAACCATCCCATTTGTTGGCTGCAACACACCAGTGCAAGACGGGGGAATATTTCATGAATGGATGAGATTCAATGCCTGATCTGCAGGGAAAGGCTTGTTAGCAGCAGCTTCATTTTTTTATTTTGCAGTGGAAACAGCAAAACTCCATTTTTTGGCAGGCTGATTACCATTTGGTTTAGCCCAGAATATTCTGGATGCAACATTGTGAAGGAGGAAAAATGTGTCCACTGCATTCTGGAGAAAACAAATTGCCAAGAGGAGCTCTGCTATTGCTGTTGGTGCTACCATAAACAGGGACAAAATAAGAGACTGCTACTAATGGCAAAACCCCCACAGCTCTGGTTGGAAATTTTGCTTCCCTTTAAAATCCACAAAATGGTCCCCTGCTTTGGGAATTGGAAGTTCTCTTGTGAGAGCTTTCAGTTCAGTTGTAAGACAAGTACTGACTAGCTAAGAACCAAAATAAATATTTCCTTTCTTTTAGTAAGGCCTGCTTAATGGAGAGGAGAAAAAGACAAAACACATGAAGGGCTGAATGTGGCTAGCCACTGAACAGAGAATCACACAACTACTTCTGCATGCTCAAGGAATTGTATTTCCATTCTCCATGACAAATGCCTTGTGAGACAGAAAGATTTCAAATGTAAGTTATGAAATGGCATAGTGACCTGCTGTTCAAAGGGGACAGCCAGAAATTCCACTAGGCATGCCAGAGCCCCAGGGTGTATCTAATGTAGTTGTATGGTTCCCAGTCAATATACTTCCAAAGGAGAAGGTAACAAAGGAGTGAGAACTAGGAAAACTTAGAGGAGTGTTCCGTTACCATGTTGGCCTGCCAGCTATCCACATTAACACAGCGATCAATGCACCACCAAAAGTCATCCTCAGACTCTCCTTTCCAGGCAAATACAGCCACACCTAGTGAGGGAAAAAAATGTTTCACTTGTTCAAGTAGGGCTGCTTGAAGCTCCTGAAGTCCAGGCTTTACACATAGCAGATATGATAAAATACTCTTATCCTACTCGCTTATCTATATTTATAACTGAAGCTGTCTGTCCATGCACATTAGGAAGAAGCTATGTTGTTAGGATAGCAGACTGAGAATCCAAAGATCTGCTACAATGAATATTTAATAGTCAGCAAGTAGCCTCACCATTTTGTACCTTCTTCTTTCTTGTCCTCTGTTCAGCTTATTTAAATGGCCAGGCTATCTGAAGACACACTGGAAGAATTCACAGGTCAGGCTAAGCCACCTTGCAAATAGCCAATGGTTGGTTGGTTGTTTGCAGAACAATGTACCCACCAGATAAATGGGCTCACTTTAGATTGCCCTCTCCTTCCCTCTTGGTCCTCCAGATGGTATCCCAGGGGACTTAGTGGCCGAAGTCACCTTGTCTCCACTCCCCACTGTGAATCACAAGCCTTTTTCTGCTTGTCACAGCTTTTTTCTCTTTTGTTCTTTTTGGGATCTTCAAGTTAACAGCCAGTGATAGCGTCTCCAATGTGCTGAAGTGGCACACTGAAAGGGTTGTCACTGTTTCACCACTCCCCTTTAAAAAAATAATAATTGCAAGAAACATGCACAACTTTCATTCATTTCTATTTATTTGCTTATTGTAGTCTGTCAGATTTGCACAACTGAAGATGTGTAGAAAATGGAAAGCCTTGCCTGAGTGAGGTCCTAGGAGGTATCCACTTCCAAAGCAAAGCAGACACTAAGTATGGATATTGATTCAAAGGGCCTTCAAATAGTTTTTTTAAAACTATACTCTCATCATCACTATCAAAAGGTGAGTTATTAAGAGAAAGCAAAGGCACACTCCTTTGTGGTGAGATTCTCCAGCGGGTTTTTTGTTTGGTTGGACTTGACTCTTTTCAGTGTCCATGCACTTTTCTAGCCTTTCCCAACATTCCAAGTGCTTTGGAAACTGGAAACATGTGAGCCATCTCTTTTACAGAAGTGTAATTTTGATAGCCTGCTGGCAAAATTCAGGCTTTTTTTAAAAAAAGAAAGATAAGAGTTTGTGGGAGGGGGATTGGCTTATGCTTTACCAGTTTGCTGAGCACCTACAGTTTTGGAAAAGGGGAATAAGTGCAAGAACATTGAAGTCTAGCCATAAAAGTGGAGGATTTCAGTGGCTGGGTTCAGACAACATGACAAGTTGTGGTGTTTGTAGGTCTGTCATGTTATCTGACTCTAGTCATGGTATTTCATCTTGGTAAGTTTAGTCTGTAGAAACCATGACAAGAAACAATATTTTGTTCTACTCTTGTCTCTACCACCATGGCTAATCATGTCATCTGAACCCAAGATCATGGTTCCCATGGCCCTAGTATACAAATACCACAGAAGTCCCCTGGAAAGAGTGGCAACTGCAGGATCCACTCCAACTGTCTACTCTATGCATGAACCAATAAGAAGCAAGTGACACAAGCAAGGAACAATGCACCTTGGATTGAATTCTAGGCACAGCTGTTCATGGGATAAATGCCCACAATGGGAGGCCTGAGCAGGGTGGATAGAAACCATGATAAAGTAGGAATCTCTTCACTGTGCATCAGGTAGATCTGGTTTAAACACATGAACCAACCATGCAGGGTTGCTTGTTGTGTGAACACAGCCACTGTAAAGCCAATTATCTACTTGCCATCCCCGTTTGTGAGCACATATCGCTCACAGCTTTGCTCTTCCTCAACAGCTCACTTTTTGACAACTGCCAAGAGAACACTTTTTAAAAAAGTATTTGTTGCCTGTACGTGTCAATGTTGATGACTGGTGCCTGCCATATTTGATGACAGACAGATCTCTCAGGACATTGTCCAGGTGAGGCTTCCCATTTTGGACACTGGCAAGTGCATATCTCCACAAGTCTGACTTAAAGAAAAATTGTACAAATGTCTTATGCTTAGAAAAAAGCCACCCAGTGATAGTTCCTTCCAGTGTGCCATCTGTTCTCGGCTTTCATCTTGGGGACTATGAAAAAGAATCTCCGGAACAAAGGGGGAAGGAGGGAAAATGCTATGGTGAATGAAAAAGTAGCAGGACACCATTCCAGGGACTGCTGCTCCACTGTGTGGCTCAGGCATTGATGGGATGGCTGTCAACAAAAGTGGCAGGTGAGCTCAACAAAAGCAGCATGAAAGTTTTGCTACTCTTGCTCATTGGATCATTCACTGCTTCCTACAGCCCACAGCAGAGTTGGTTGCTCAGGTTTGGATGGCATGACAACCCACCATGGGTTCAACAACCTGTAGAAAAAGCCCTGGGTTGTTCAAGCAGAACAACAAGTTTCCCTGTGAAAAGCAGTCCAGGTTTGCATGCCGCAATCCATAAAGCCTCATCACCCATGAAGGATTGTTATGCTGTGTGAATCGAATTACTAACTCAGTATCATTTGTAAATGGGGCACTGACCTCCGGTAGCAGTCTTTAGCCATTAAAGTGTAAGTAAGATTAAAGCTCAGTTAAAAACACATTGTGGTTAAGAATTATGCTTTCTTCTTTCATTGACAAAAAGGGGCTATATTGATGCAATTCATTTGTACAATTTATAGAATTCTTGGGGGTTTCTTGAAATTTCACAAGAAATAGCAGTTTGATTACTTTTTAATGGTCCATCAGAATAGATTCTTGGCAGAATATGTAGTAACAGTATAAAAACAAACTTCTATGGGACCTTATGATTAAGGAATTTATGGTGACATGAGCTTTTGCAGGGAAAAATGCATGCAGAATAAAGTAAATAACCCAAAGCAAAACAGGCTCTATTTAGTGTACTTTAGCCTTTCCCAACAAATGGAAGGGTGTCCACCTGACTGTGGAATGTTTCTTCGAGGAGGGCTGGCAGAATACCCAACAGCTTGGGCATGTAGAGAATTTGCAAAAATATTAGGACAGTAAAGTTGCAATAATATTTCTGATTCCTATTTTCTCTGAAGTTTTACCAACTGCCAGAAAGATTAGAGTCACACAAGTTTTCATCAAACCCAACAATATATAGCAAACAGAGAATATGCCAGAAAATTATTTTTGAAAGAACACAAGTCTATCTTCATTCATGTATGCACCAGGCTTGTCAGTTTTATTTTCTAAGAAGTCTACATTTCAACCACTGTCCCACATTAGGTTCTTGTGCTAATTTATAAGACAGAGCAACTGGGAGTGTTATAACAAGTTAATGTTAATTCCTATATCCATAGCTCTAATCAAACTTATCTTAAGTGTCATAACAGACTGACAGGCTAGCAAGCAAACAAGCAATGCTATATACAGAACCAAAAGTATTGTCATCACAAAGTACACAATGACAGGATACATCCAATTTTATTTCAATTGGCATCCCACTGATTTATATTTGTGCTTATTATGTAATCTGGTCCTTCTTTAAAAACTAATGACCACACTTCATCTGAAACAAGGTTACCTTACTTTGTTCTGAATTAACTCTAAGGAGCTTACATAGTTAGTTACATGCTACAGAATACTAGTAACAGAGTTTCAGAGCTGTAAAAAACCTAAACAGTCACATACCTCTGTACACCATGTATACCTCATAAGTGTGGAGAGAGATGGAATTAGTAAATATGCTAAAAAACAAACAAACAAACACCAGAATTTGCATTTCTGATGCTGCAACTAAATCTTTGTACTGTTGTCCTGCACTTACCAGCCTCAGCTAAGGCAGCAGCCACCTCATTCTGGGTGGAATAAATATTACAAGCAGACCATCGGCACTGAGCTCCTAATGCACACAATGTCTCAATCAAGACCTAAAGGAGAAAGAAAGCACATTATGAAGTAGCAGTCATGGTTTACTTGAATTGGCCAATGCTAACCCAGAAAAATGATAAAAAACAATTTATATCCTTTATAGCCCAATCTATTTCAGGGGTTCAAGTCAAGTTATATATCAATGAGGCAGGCCCTAGTTCTTACGGAGCCAATATGTGTGAAGCAGAGAGACCACGAAGAAGAAGAAATGGGATTCCTACAGTCCCAAAATTTTGCAGCCACTATCAGCTAAGACAGCACCTAGATCCACATCCAAAAAAGCTACAGCTATCAGTCAAATCAGATACATCCCATCAACTATTTGTGACCCTGGACCTGCAATAACAGCAAGTGTCATTACATAGCGCTTGTGTACACAAAACATGCCCTGGTCTATGCATGCCTTCCTTTTATTTCTTTATACTGAAAGGGGAAGAGATGACATGTAGCTGTTAAGATAAGTGCCAACTGGAGTACAAATTGCAGAAATGGGACACTTACCGCAGTCTGTGCTGTAATATGTGTGCATCCCACTATTTTAGCTCCAGCTAAAGGTTTCTCTCCCTGAGCTCGTTTTCTTAATGAAATCAGTGCAGACATATCTACAAAAAGCAAAACAGTAGCTTTTAATAAAACTCATGCCAGCCCCTAGCAAAGTTCAGGTTTCCAGACTTCAGCAACTCAAACAAATACATCTATCTAAACATCTACTGGAGAACAGAGGCTCTAGAAAGCCAAGACAGTTATTTAGGGTATGGTACACCCCCTCAAGCTCCTTCAATGTCAGTGCCAGCTGTGCTGGTATCTTTCAGTTCTCCTTGATGGAGTTAAGGAGGGTTAGGGTTATTGTTGTTAATGTTTTTTATTGATTGTGGTGTTGGGACACAGGAAAGTCCCAAGGCACTCACAATGCCAGTCAGAAAAGAACTGAGGAAGTGGGTGGGAACCCCTCCCAGACATAGCAAGGGGTGGGAGTTGTTCCTGCCAAATCCAGTCTAGCTAGGAAGTCTTCCCAACAATAGGCCCTGCATAGGCACAGAATTCTTAAGTGTAATGCAGAGACCACAAAGAAAAACCTAAATGCTCAACTCCCACAAATGAAGCTGCATGGATAAAGTGTCCTTAGTTTCTTCCTAGTAGACAGGTGGTCAATAGCATTTTTCACATATTGACCATCAACTGCTGCTCACAAGGATGTACAGACTACTGTAAATTGCATGATTACCAGTACCTGTTTGGAAGCATACTGGAGGATTCTGTTGTTTTTAAGTTTACAGAGTTTATTGCCATTTTAATAAAATTATGTATTACCAAGGTTTAGATTACCTAAGAGAATATAATTTATGATATCCAAGGAGAAGGAAACTTCAGCAGTTCATCCTTTACCTTGTTCAGCAATCTCTATCTCTCGGCGACCAAACTCAGCCTGCTTGATATTCTTAACACAGAAATTGCTACTGCCCTTGGAATTAGTTTGTTGCTTTTCTCTAGGAGAAACTTCATCATCAGAGCTGTCTGTATAAGATGCCGCTACAGAACAAAACAAAAATGCTTGATAAGAACAGAATACAGATGAAAGCAAGCAAGACAATCATTTTGCCTTACTCAATGCTGACATTTTACCATCTGTGCTATTTTAAAATCATTCTAATAATTCTAAAACAGCGAAAGTGTCCTGGTCAATCTGGCTTCCTGTTTCAATCTTTCGTTTCTTGGCTTCTATGTATGAGCATAAGGTGGCACCATGTGGGTTTCAAATACTGCAGGTTATCAACATCTTTGGAAAATTACTGGCAAAGGGATTCCATTTTATTTAATATTTTTAGACTAGCTTTCAAACAAACCAAGTCCCCCAAGCACTTTATAATATATGACATTTAACTTATGTGGTTTACTTTTAGCTTACACAATGCAGAAATACATGGGAAATATTTTTCAACCAACAGCACAATATTTAAAGAACTTCTCTTTTTAAGTTGCTCACTGAATGGTTGTAGAGAAAGAGGGAAAAAAGATTATATACATAATGAATAGATAACATGTCAATCCCAATAGCCTGGTTCCAAAGGTTCACTTCTTTCTCCATAGGAAAGGAACCTTTAGCTGCAGCAATGTATTTCTCAGACACAACAGGCAGCTACATTCACAATTTAAAGACTTTTTATCTTCTTTTACTTTTGTAGCTACAAATGTCTATACTCACAAATTCTGTTTATGTTGTGGGGTTTATTGACTGCATCCTAGATGAAACACAGTTCTGAAAGCAGAAGAACCCCAAAGATCAAATTGGACATGAGACACCATCTGGTGCAAGATGACAAAATCTTCCCATCCAAACTGGCTGCCACCAATGCCAGCTACCCTTTGCAGATCTTGCAGTAAGAACTATGAGCAAACCACTGACTTAACCAGCTGGTATAGATTAATGTTCCTAGTGATGCATAAACCAAAAGGGAAGAAGATCAGGAAAAGGAACATGCTTACCAGAGCTGTAACTGTCAGTGGAAGACTGTGAAATGGAACGAGACATAGACCTGCGACCAGTCTTGGTTGGGAATTTGCTGAACTCTTGCATATCATCCGCAAACTGGATTTGCTAAATACAAAGTAATCAGAAGTGAGCAGTGAAAGCAGTAATGTGTAGAATAAGATGATGCACAGGTTTATACTGACTTAATCTGTAACAGTGAGCTTGCTTCTCCAAGAGTACCTCAAAAAACAACAAATACAGGGTATTTATTTGATTTATATCCTGCCTTTCTACCAAAAATGGCACTCAAAGTGGCTTACAAAACCATTTTAAAAACATTAAAATAACAAGACATTAAAAAACAATGAAAAACAAAAGGTACAGAAAAAACTACAGAGCCAATCCAACAGACTCACTGCAAACCAAGGCCTTCTGGAATGAAGTGGTCTCTGCTTGCTGACAAAAGGACAGCAGAGAGTCTATATGGGAAGGGCTTCCACAATCTGGGAGTGACTGAAAAGGACCTTTCATATCACGACCTCTGATAGCAGTAGCCTCAAATGATCTTAAAGACTGGGCAGGCTGGTATGGGAGGTGGTTTTTCAGGTAACCCCATTCCTGGTTTTCCAGGCCACTACTTTGAAGCCAGTGAAAACTGTGAAGCCAGTGAAAGCTACTGTAACAAGTGAATCACATACTCACTGTAACTGGCCGGTGAGCAGTCTGAACAGTTTTTGAACACAGCCTCAAATAGTGTGCACTGCAGTAGTCCTAATGAATTGTAACTAAGACATGTTAACCAAGTCTGGATGAGACAGCTCTAGAAATGGGCAGAGCTGGCACACTAACCTCAGCTCTGCAAGTGCACTCCTTATCGCCACCAAGACCTGGGCATCCAGGTTCACAGCTGAGTCCAGGAGTACACTGTAACTTTGAGCCTGAATTCCCACTTCCTGATCTGCCCTTCCACTGACCAGGAGCACTTCCTGTCTGAACCTTGTCTTTGATCCATTTGCCCTCATTCAGTCTATTACCAACAACAGAGAGTGATTTAGACAACTTCCTTGGACTTAGATGGTAATGATAGAGTTGGATGTCATCAGCATACCCCCAAACTCCAGAAATCTTTTCCAACAATTTCATGTATATATTAAATAACATGAGCATTAAGATGGAATCCTGAGGAAACCACAGTTCAACAAGGCCCCTGCCAACTCACAAACACATTTCATCAGTGGTGTAAGCTCAGTGAAGCATTTTGATACAAAAAGAAAAAAGTTAGATGTATTTTCTTCAGCCTAGTCATATAGTAACAAAAATATTGCTACTAACAGGTGTGTATCATGCATACTGACTGGGTTGTAATTGTCAGTATGTGATTAAAAGATCTATGCATCCACCTGGATTAGAAGGTCTAGACTCAATTTTTTTAAAAAAACCACACACCCTTAGACAATATTGAAAACTTCCCCAAAGATCTGTGTTTAATGTTTTACTGATTCTTGGCTAGCAAAATTATTTAACCCTAAATTTGAAACCAATTACAGAACACATTAATATACAAAATTGCAATATATTAAAGTGAGTATTAAATAGTTGTTAAACATTTAACATAATACATAATTAAGTTAATATGAATGATTTATTCTGTGGGTATTATTTAAAAAGAATGGTTAGCAGTAAGAAGTTAGATTGAAACCGTTAAAATTTGGCTTATGTTTTAAATTCTTATGAGATATCTAACGTACTGAATATTCTACATCAAAATCACTACATGAGCTCAAATGAAAGAGGATGGACTACAAGCTTATGACTATAGTGTCCAACTGAACATATGAGTCACAGCTGAAAGCATAGGAAGTATCTAAAGAAAAGTTAGGCACTCGTTCTCTAATGGACTACCACACCTGCAAATGCTCTTATCAGGTACACTGAACTCATGTAGCACCCGACAGATCTGGATTGAGTAGCAGTGAAGAAATCACAGCATTTCAAATTCACCAAGAAATAACTAGTTGATTTGGTCATGGTAATTCTTAGGAGGATCTAGAGCAAGCGGTTCATACTTCCATGTATTTCAACTACACATCTCAATTATTTACTGGAAGGGGCACTTCCCATCCAGCAGCAAGCGGCTCTACCATAAGAGAAAACTGGCTCATAAGAGCTAACAACATTAAGGAAGACAAAAACGGGGTAGAATTATCTTTGACCTTTAACAATTCAAGTATCTGCTACAACACCTTCTTAACTTGTCTGCACCTCCGTGTGTGTGTGTGTGTGTGTGTGTGTGTGTGAGAGAGAGAGAGAGAGAGAGAGAGAGAGAGAGAGAGAGAGAGAGAAGACCATTTTATAGTTTAGAAAATAATTCAGCCAAGCCATAAAGCAAATTATAAAAATGTATTAAGATCTAAGAAAGGGACAAGAATAGAATTGGAAACCCCAAATTGATTTAATACATATAAAAATTCATTCCTAATTCTGCAAGACACAATATAAGCACTTAACAGTTGCAACCATGTGATTTATTATTTCCACAAACCACCCCCATGTACTGCTTGTGTGGCCTTAAGAACAGCATGATACTAATGAGACTGCCAAGAATTAGAGATGGAAAAACAGAATCTAAGATATAAAAGAAAATAGCTTGTTTCTTATGCTTGCATTTATTCAACCATTTTGCCTTGAGTGATGCTTTTCGAAATTATATACTTTACTTGTGTACAAATCTGGATTCTTAAAATCTAGGTAACAGAATCTGATGGATCAGACACATGACCACAATGCAGTGGTTAAGGTGTTGATAATATTCAACCTTGAAGGTTAAATTTACTTCAGGTTCTCTTTCTTAAATTAAAAAACAGGAGTTAATTTGATCTTTGATAGAAATCAATGGATTCCCACCATGTAAGTGTGAGGACATTTAACTGGAGACCAAGGCCAAGATCATCCACACTACTGTATTCCTGATCTCTATGTATGGGTGGGAAAGAAGTCTGTGAAGAAAGGTGAAGAAAACCAGTATGTTCAAAACATGGTGCTGGAGGATAAACAAGTTGGTCCTAGATTAAATCAAGCCAGGACTCACCCTGAAAATGATGAAACTGAAGTTCTTATATTTCAGGCACCTCATCAGTAGGCAAGACTTGCTGGAGAAGACAATAATGCTATGCAACATCAAAGGCAGAGCAAGAAGACACAAACCAAATATGAAATTGACTAACTCCATAAAAGAAGGCACAGCCTTAAGTTTACAAAAGCTGAGCAGAGCTGTCGAGGACAGGGCATTATGAAGAGCATTCATTCACAGGGTTGCAGGAAGTCCCAGACAACTTAGCAAGACATCACCACCACCTCCATGGTTTGGTGTATAAATCCAAGGGTTAACCTGCACAGGCTTGTCATGATGTGCAGACTGGCCTATTGTTCACCATGTCCTCAGGCAGTATGTATAAGAAAAAGATATTGTATACCAGTTCCTTGGGCGGGGGTGGGTACCAGCAGAAAGCAGGCAGCCATGAACCATATCTGGGATGAGGCACTCATCTTGCCTCTGCTGTCAACTCTCCCAGTGCTTCAGTGTAAAGCTCAGTAATGAGCTAGGCTTCTTTCTCTGGGACAAAAAACCAGACTCTGCCTAAAAACATCTAGGTAAGGGGCAGGCAGCTGTGGGTGACTGGGGGAGATTTTTGTCCCTCCTGACCCCCCCCCCCACATGAACTGTGGTCTGCCAGAAGAAACCCCCTTGCCACTTTTAGCCCATATTCAGTGGCAATATCCTAAGGGAGCTTAAAATAGTCAAATATTCCATCAAAGCAAGTTAAATTTACCATTTAGGCTGCCTTAGTACTAGCCTGTCACCAGGTCTAGTAGCAAATTGGCAGTGTATTTGTCAACCCTCTAAATTTTAGCAACTTAGCAGAAGTGGGGCCAACAGGAGATACTGGGGATAGCAAGCCCAACATATGGCTTGCTGCTTGCATGGTGCCTACTTTGGATATAAGGGAAGAACTGCTTTGAGAGCCTAGAAGCAAGCAGAAGTTCATAATTTGCATCAGCTAAGTTGTTCACAGAGCAAATTGATGAAATGGATCAGGAAATCAATCCCGTTTCAAAACATTCCAAACTTTACATGCTCTTCCCACACTGTTACAGTGTGCACAAGCTCAACAGTGTACATGTGCATATATTTTCCCACTACAGTATTCACTACATCCCAGATGAAGCTCTTAAGTGTTCAGCGCTTTGATGCTGTCAGCTTGAGCAGAAGAAAAAACAGCAACAAAAGCACAAAAAAAGAACCACACAAACACAAACCTGAAACTGCTTTTCATATATCTTAATTTCATAAACTCTGTACTTGCCCCTCTGAACTTTGCAGCTTTATTTATCTAGGGTCAATTTTGGAGGGCATTTTCATAGAAATCATCCAAAGAACTACATAGCGAGTGGAGCAGTGTGCCAATTATTTTCTCTCCATAAACATTACATAATCCCTTCACACAAAAACCACTACATCTGAAGCTTTCTTCCATATGGGCATCTTTATAATGCCATTTTCATATGAACTGCATTAATAATAACCCAAAAACAAAACAGAGGGTAACAGATTTTATTTTTTGAAACTACCGAACTATCAAGATGGCTCTTGCAAAGAACCCCATGCATTTGTCTGAAATTTGGCAGGCTTCACTTCCTTAAAAGGGGTAACAATGCTGCAAATTTAATATCCTTCTGCCAAGAAATGAAAAAGTCATCTGTGGTTCCTTTAAAAAAACCAAGCAAAATTTAAAAACTAATTGCCTGAAGACTTAAAAAAAAGCCATACCTATTCATCTTATATTTTGCAGGTTTAATTTCATTTCAGCCTGTAATTCAAAAAGTCAGTTTTTCTTCACAAAACAACAAGCTGCAGTTAGTTTAAAGCAGGAGCAGATGCTGTACTAAAGAAGCAAGTCTGCGCATTTAACACTAAACTATGGTTCAGTGTTACATTTGAACCAGGCAAAAACCACTCAAAGCCATCAAATGATTCTGGGAAATGAATGAATCCTTATAAACTGAATCCCTATAAGCAACCCAAAAAAGTTGACTCACAGTCAAAATCTATGCTTATAGTGAGTATA